TTTTGCATTCGGTTTGTTTTTTTTTCATTTTTTCATTTCTTTTTTTTTTTTTTTCATTTTCATCAAAAAAAAAAAAAAAAAAAGAAAACAATTCAACAAACACAATTTTGCTCCTCATCATCATCATCACCATTATCGAATGCAAGATTCGTATGCGAAATAAAACTTGAAAAGATTACTTTTTGAAAAATAATTTTTCTCCAAATCCAAAATTGAACATTGATTCGACCAGCATCGTGATTTGTTATCGTTGTCGTCGTTCGCAAAACAAACAACAGCCAACAAAATCAAAATGAAAAAATTTGAAACAAAATGAAAAATTGAAATTCTTGTAAACTTAAACTTGGAATTGCAACTTTTTTTGTTATTGCTAAGTGTGTATACGTGTATTGTGTGGTGTTTGAGTAATGTGTGTTTGTGTGTTTTGTTTTGTTGTTGATGTGTTATTCAATTAATTCAATCAATTTTCACTTGGTTCCTGGAACAGAATCTTATAGTTGGTGACATTATTATTATTATCATCATTGACAATTAGTGATTCTTGTGGTGGTGGATGAAATAGATTGTGTTGAACCATTTATTAATAAATCTGATATTAAATTTCAAGTTTTACCAATAATTTTACGAGAAAAAACTTTGTCTGTGTTGCATTTTTGTATAATATAATCGAAAAATCAATCATTGAACATTTTTTTGTTTTTGTTTCTAAAGTAAAATTCATTCTAGTGGTTGTTTGATCCAAATTTTTTCTTCAAAACAAGATCAGTTTTATTTGTTTGCTCTCTTTTCTTATCCACTCGACCACAGCATCAAAATTCGAATCTTTTTCACACACTCAAGATTCGAATGTTTTCAAACGAAACAACTCTTTCAATACAGATTGATTTTTTTGGACAAGTTTTTTTTTGTTTCTGTTCGAAATGATAATTAGTATTACAAACAACTAATAAAACTTATTGATATGTGAATTAGTCAACAACAAGAGAAACTCTCAATCAGCATTTTTTCATCTTTCTAGAATTGTGTATTCTGTATTTGTTGTTTGAATTCTTTGCTTTTTGTTTGAATGTGAGCAGTGTTCGTCTGTGTGAATGTCGTCGAAAATTCCATGTGATTCTTCACCAACCAAGCATTTATTATTGAACAAAAAAAACCGAATGAAAAAATGTGCCATGAATATATGTACAACACACCAACGCACACCACATACACATCTACAGGATTCTTAATGATTCGTAACTGAAAAAGAAATTTACTAAAATTTTTTTTATTGAAAAATTATTATCAAATTGATTTTTGTTGGTCTATAATTATTGAATGTTTAGTGTTATGTAATGTGAATTTGTTCATGTTGAAAAGTGATATCAACAACAAAAACTACTAAATATTTTTAATTGGATTATTGAAAATTATATTTTTTGCATCTCTCAATAGCTCTACAGTGTGATAGAAGTGTTTGTTTGTTTACAAAAGTAACAAATTTGGTGGAAATTATATTTTGAATTTAATCTGATTACCGATTTCTGGCATTTTCCCAAAACAAAACCGAGAAAAATAATGGCCAAAACTGAGTTGAAATTTGGACCCGATTGGTTACGGGCATTGACCGATGGAGCCGGCAGTAATAATAGTGGTGGTGGTGGAACTGGCAGTGTTACTAGCAGCGGTGGTGGCACAAAATCCACCTCTTCCGGATCGAATAATTCAAGTTCATCATCATCATCCAATTCGCTGAGTATGTTTTTGTTGTTGAAATGATATTTGATTTATAAATTTTGTTTGGGGTAAATACTAGGCACAACCAATACCACATTCAAATCGAAAATGTTCAATACAAAATCAATTACAAAACATCATTCGCATTCGCATCATCAAAATGATGTAAAATACCGTTATACAAAGGAGGAAATGTTATCATTATATCAACAATCTTCATCATCATTAGCATTACCAAAAGACTTGATACAACATGATGAAGTTTACATCGAAGATTGTCAATATCCATTAGCATTGATCGAATTGACTAATGATGAAATAGATCTAATGTCACAGAATATTAATCCGGATTTTGTCGTGAAAAAATCCAATGATCAATCATCATCATCAAATCTGAATAATAATTCGAATAATCAACAAAATCATTCTGGCCCAACAACCGTATTGTCCAATAACAATCAACAACATCATGGTTCATCATATAAAGATCGTATTTCGAAATTATCCTCGTCAGATTTACTTCGATCACCAAGTGGTGGTGGTGCAACAAAACTTGTTTCATCATCATCGTCGCCATTGTCATCGAATGGATTTATAGCCGAACGCAATAATACAAACAATACCAATTCTTATTCGATACGCGGTAGCGGTGGTTCATCAAGAGGTTCATCACTCAATAATAACCGTATCGGTGGACGTAGTGGGGGCGGTAATATCGCATTCACCAGATTATCGTCGATGGATTCCTCAACATCAGACAATAATAATAATAACAATAATACATCAACTTCTGCCAGTAGTGCTATACGCTCGATTGGAGCTATTTATGCTGGATCGAAAAAATATTTGGAGTTAGCAGCTTCTGGTGGTCAACAACATGATGATAACGATAATAATAATGCTTCTAGTAAAACTAACTCAGGATCGTCATCATTAGATTCTTCATCCGCAGATAATAATTCGGCCAGTGGTGGTATTCGATCGATTTATTCGGGATCGAAAAAATATCTGGAATTGGCAACTGCCGGGGTACATCATCGTGATGATAATGAAACAACAACTGTGGCTAAAGCAAATTCGAATTCTTCATCAAATAGTTCATCATCGGCATCGTTGTTTATGCCATCATGGCGTTCGTCAACTTCAACTTCGACGACAAATAAAAATGAATCGGCAACGAATCCTGATTGCTCTTCGGTTAAAGAAGCTGGATCATCATCATCATGGAAAACAAATAGTTGGCGCACTAATGATAATAATAATGCTAGTGGTTCACGTAATTCAGGTAGGATTGCTTGATTGTAGATGATTGTCATGACTCATTACTAATAACTGATTAATTATTGTGACAGTGTCTATAAGGCTAAAGGATTTTTTCGGTGATCCAATCCTGGATGATCATCATGATAATAGCATTAGCAGTCGTATTGGCGCAATTGGCAAACAATCAGCGGTTAACAATTCAAAATCTGGAAAATCGTTTCAAAAACGTTCATCATTCACAACATCATCGTCGTCGTCATCTGAACGTCATTTATCATCGTTTCCATCTAATATTGATGGTTCAGCATTAGATGCAGAAAGAGATTTATTTGGTGGTCGTTCACAATCATCATCCACATCATCGTCAACAACGGCAACATCGAAAGGATTGACATCGCGTGATCGTTATCGTGGCGGTGGTGGTAGTAGTGATCATCGTGGTGGTGGTGGCGATGAAACAAAGACGACGGAAAATTCTAAATTTTCTCATCATTCGTCGTCATCATCATCAACGAAAGGTTACTATGGTCGTTCATATGATCGTTTCAATTCAAGAACACGGGGTGGAGGTAGTGGTGGTGGCAATGATGGCAACCATCATCATAATCATCACCATAATCATCATTCGAATAATGATTCGGATTTTTTCTCTGATCGTTTCGCTGGTACAAATCGTTCGAATAATTCTGGCTCAAATCATCATCAACATCATCATCATTCACAAAATGACAATGATGATGGTGGGGATTCCTATCGACGTAAAGATTCACTACCCGAATGGAGTTTAGAAGATCCTAGTTGTATTGATGTGACACGTGTTGGTACATTCGATGCAACCGGTGCATTTCATGAAGCATTTGATGATGATCTTATGACACCATTAGAACCGGATGGTGTCGATAATGACAATGAGGATGATGGTGCTGCTAACAATAATGATAATGTTAATGATGATAAAGATGAGCAAGACTTTTTCGGTCGAAAAATTTCGAAATCGAAAAAAGATTTGCACATTGATAAAAATTCAACAACAGCAAGTGAAAAATCAACGGAGAGCAGCAAAGCCAATAATGATGATAAAGCATCGGAAATTCTTTCATCAACAACGAAAACAACAAATTCGAAACCGAAACCTATTGATTATTTCAATGATCCATCATTAAGTCCAAATTATCATACAAGACTGGAACAAAAGTCAAACGATAAAACAGTATCGACGATGAACAATGATGTGGAGGAAGATAAAACCAAATCAATGGATGGTAATAACACCAATAGTAATGATCTAATTTCAATGATGACCAAACAACATAGTAATAATTTATCAAATGATGGCGATCGGTTGGAATCCAATTCTCTATTCAATCCTAATCAAACATCATCAACATCGACATCATCATCATTGGCAAATAATTCTACCTTTCCGTTTGTTACAAACGTTGCATCCATGTTGGAACAACAACAACAGCCGCCTATTAATATTGGACAAGTATTGAATGCACGGAACGCCATTTCCAATCTATTGGAATCGTCATCATCAACAGCCGATAATATATTGTCTGGTTCGCCAACAACGTTTAAATCAACCATGCAAACCAATAATAATAATGAACGAAATTCCTCATTATTCATTGCAGATGATGACAATCTATTGTTGAATGATTCATTGAAGTTTTCATCATTATTGAATGATTTCAATTTTGATTTTGTCAATTCAACAACCAGTAATAACAATTCCAAAACAGCTACTACTTCGGCTGCCACCAACGATTCATCTACAGCGGATCATCAGCTATTCATGCGATTAACATCACAACAACAACAACCGACGCCGCCTGTTGCATTCAATAATCAAAATATTGGCCATCATATTGGTGGCAATAACAATCTGTTGGATAGTGATAATGGACAACAACAACGTTATAATCTTTTAACATCGAAACCAAAAGAATTGTTGGATGATCATCAACATCAAACACCATCATTATCTTCTAATCATCATACAATGATTATAAAATGGTTTTATTGTGATCCACAAGGACAAACACAGGGTCCGTTTACAAGTCAAGAAATGTTTGAATGGTATAATGGTGGCTACTTTAATCCTGATTTATTAGTCAAACGGTCAACCGATAATAAATTCACTAAATTAGGCGAATTGATACAGGCATTAGGTGGACGTTGTCCATTCAATTTGATACCACCATCAACAACGACAACTTCGTCTTCTGTTGCACCACAACAGCAAACATCTATTGGTCGAATTGCTTTGGCGCAGCAACAACAACAAGCGCCACCTCCTGTACAATCCATTCAACAACAGCCACCTTCATCATCTATTCAACATCCGAATTTCCCATTACGAACAACCAACAATAACGAGGCATTATTATCTGCCACAGCGACGACCGGCAGCGGTGGTGTTGGTGGTCATCATCGTGGACCACCATTAATGACCGCCGCTCAGCCATCATCATCATCATCAACTTCGACTGCAGGAGCAGCAGCACCCTTTCAATTTGATGAAAACCTAATGAATTCACTGAATTTATTTCAAAATTTGTCGAAGAATATCGACACTAATCAATTGATGAATGATGATCAATTATTAGGTGCTGATCATCTCATTGAACAATTAATTCAACAACAACGAAATCAACAACAACTGCATGCAGCAGCAATTCCTCAGCAACAAATACCGCCACCGAATCATCTTCATCCTCCTCATCATCACCATCATCAACAACAGCAGCAGCAGCATTCATCATCGGCATCAACATTATCGGATAATAATCAGATGAGGTTATTATTAAATCATTTAATACGACAACCACCGAATCAACCGCAACATTATTCAACCACCAAAGATGAATTTCTTGCATTGAATACTCATCAACAAAGGGAACAATATTTATTGGATCGATTTGAACAATTTAATCTTGCTGCAGCAGCTTCGAATGCTTCGAATGCTAGTAATAATAATAATCTTAATAGTTCTATGATCAAAGATCAATTACAAGTATTGAATGAGCAACAGCAACAACAACAATTTCTTCCATCGCATCATCAACAACAACAACCACCACCACCATTATATCATCAACAACATATTGATGATGATCAATTAAGTACTGCCAGTAGTTCAGGTGGTATTATTGGAACAGGACGTTCTATAATGACCGCCAAAAAATTATCATTGGATGAAACATCATCATCGACAATGACAACAGCTATTGCGGCAGCGGCTAGACCACAACCAATAGCGCAGCCACAGCCACAACAACTTTTACAACGTGCACAATCCTATGAGCCTGTTAATTTTATTCAACAACCCGCACAACAACAATCCATTGCCAATCATCCTCCGTATGGATCAGATTCTGTTGTGACGCATGGTGGTCATGGTCCACAATTAGCATTATCGCAATCAGTGGATGATCCATTACAAATGTTGACGAAATATGTTGGTGGTAATGAGAATTTTGTCCCGGGTGCACTGTCCGTTACGGATGTTGAAGATTTACAACGTCGTGAAGCTGAAGAACGTTATCATCATGAACAAGAACAAAAAAGACATCAACAAGATGATCAATATCAGATGACCAATAACGATTCTGCTGGTGCCAATGAAATGGAATTTATTGAAGTTCAACGAAATAAACACCGCAATCAACAGAAGCATCAGCCTAATCAAAAAGTGCAGAAAACTATAAATAAACAATTGGAACAATCACAGTCTTCACCTCAGCCTCCCATCAAAACTCCACCTCCACAACCAGCTGCAGTTATCCTACCACAAATGCCACAATTGCCTAAAAAAGCTGTTTGGGGAAGTCAAAGTGTTGATAATGTTGAGCAACAACAACAACCGTTGCAACCACAGTTAAGTATAGCCGAAATTCAGCGACTCCAAGAGGAAAAAGAAGAAGAAGAAAGACGTTTACGTCAAGAACAACAGATTCAAATGAATGCAGCAGCCATTCTTGCTCAACAACAACAACGATCAATGAAATGGGCTACACAACCATGGCAAGAACAGCAACAACAGATCAAAACGTTGGCCGAAATTCAAGCGGAAGAGGCAGAAAAACAGGCTATCCTATTGCGTCAACAGCAACAACAGCAGCAAGAAGCAATGGAATCGGCAATTCGTCGTCCACATTCACAAGCTGTACTAACACCATTATCTGTTATTGTCGCTAAAGGTTCGTCCAATCAATCAATACCACCAACATCAACACAACAAACGGATACTTGGGTTAAACCAATACCAAAACCGGTGGTACGCTCCACGGGTGGCGCCTGGGATACCGGAATTGTGGCTGATGATGAATCACAAAATCATCAGTCACAGATTTCTTCACAACAAATCAACTATAAAGCTGCCGTGGCAGCCGGACAAAAACCCAAGATTGATAGTTCGACCATACGACAAGTGCTCAAAACAATTCCCAAAGTCAAGGTATGTTTGCTATCAACTCCATTTTTGTTGCATTTTAAAAATTGATTCGCACAGAATTCCGCACCAATGATGTCCGTCCGTAATGAAATTGACAACCCTGAAGAGTTGTATCGTTTATCAGTAGAAATGTTGAACAACCATTTCGATAATATTGATGGTCTGTCTGTTTAGCTTTTTGTTTGTTGCCAAATAATTTTATTTTCCTTTTCGTTTAGCTGTTGGTTTTCTTAACATTCTCAAAGATCTTGGGTCACCAGCCGAAGTTTCTGAATATGGTCAATCATATTTGGGTGGTAGTCCAACTGCCAAATCATTTGTTAAATTTTTCATCACACGTAAAGCCTATTTGTTTAAATTGAAGCAACAACAAGACCAAGAGGTAGGATTGAAAAACAAAGTTGATAGAATTATATATTGTAATCAATTCTTTTTGTTGTAACAAACAGCGAAATAAACAACCACAAACAACGACAAAGAAAGTATCCAACTGGAGCAATACGCAGGAACATGAACAAGAACGAGTGATTAATTATAAATCGGCATTATCGATCAGTAATAGTAATAATAATAATAATAAGACGCCAGGCAAATCACCAGGTCAATCATCCAATAATGGTAACAATCATTCAAGTGCACATATCAAGCCAGCTACATTGAAACCACAGATTGCCAATAATCTTAATAATAAATCCGCAAACAAAGCAAATGATGTAAGTTATATCGTTGGTTTTGTGGTTGGTCATATTAAATCTTTTCAATTGATTTAGGATATCAATCTTATGACCGTGCAGGTTGAATCGATGGAGGAATTCGATAAATGGTGTCTCGATGTTCTTAGACAAAATTTCGAGCTCACTATTGATGGTAATTATTTATTTATATTAAAAGTGAATTTGCCAATAATGACATTCTCTCTCATTGTTTCAAAAAGCTGAAACATTCGTTGGTTTTCTCAAGGACATTGCATCACCCGATGAAATCAATGATTATGTACAAACATATCTGGGCAGTAATAAAATTTCCCGTGATTTTGCCAAAAATTTTATTACCAAACGGAGCTATCTTCGTAATAAAGCCCGCCAAATTGAACCATATGAGGTTTGTTTGTTTGTTTTTTGTTTATTGATTTGTTGTATTAATCTAAAATTATGATTTCAGGACATGTGTGGTCCAGCGCCAGCCTTAACACCCGGTGGAGCGGATAATAATGGTTTCGTAACAGTATCAAGTTCGAATAAAAAGAAACGAAGCAAAAATAAACAATCATCTACTTCATAATTCAAATGTGATTTAATTGTATATTTTTTCAAACAACAAATAATGATGATGATAGCATATAATTGAGCTACCAATTCGATCAACAACAACTATCAAATGTAATATGTTTTTTATTAAAACAAATTATTAATAAAAATATAATCATAATGATGATGAATAATTAAAAAAATGTGAGATTTTCAAAATCAAAATATAGTAATAATAAATTATTAATTATTAATCATCTTAACCAAAGAGTTTATCACATTTTTTCTTAACAAAATAAGTAACACTTTACAAAGTTCAAAGTAAGGTCTTTAATGGAAATTGATTGGTCGGTTCATGAATGGTGACCGTTGTGGTTGTTTTGTTTGTTGGTCTTTGAATGGTGTTGAACATTGGCTGTGGTTGTATCCTTCTAATGATTCCATATTCAACATAATCATTATGGTTATCAATAAATGCATCAGGCGTCGAAATAGCTTTTCGTAATTGATGGTAATCCGATAATGACGATGATGATTGTTGTTGTTGTGATGATATGATTGGACAACGTGGTTTTGGCACCTGATAAACACTAACAATATTATCCTTTTCTTTACGATATCGATGTTTGCGTATAAGATCTACTTTGGCATATATTTGACTTTGTGTAACTTGTGGATGTTGTTGTTGTTGCTGTTGACTATTTGTATTTGTTGCTGGTAATATCTGATGATATTCATGCAAGGATGGCGGTAATGAAGTACAACCAGATGGATGATTGATTCTTGGTGGTGTTGAATAGATCCATTTATATTGTTGCTGATGGTGATGATTATGATAATGACTTGATTTTTGCTGATGATTTTTAATGGCATCCAATTCGGCTGCAATACGAGCTGCTCGAATTAGTTTTCGATCAGTTTCTTCTAAATTTTTATTTTAAAAAGAAAACAGAATGATTAAATAAAATTAAATGAAAGTGATATTCGAAACACAAACCAGAAAACATTTGTTTGGCTGCATTAGTAATCTCTTCGTAGAATGTAGCCAATGCTTGATTGATATCCTCTTTGCGGTTATCACCATTAGCATTTTCATTTTTGTTTGTATTCAGTGTTTCTTGATCCATTGCAATCGAACATGATGATGATGAGGAGGAAGACGACGATGATGATGAAGCGGTATTGACTAAATGATCATTCATCATCTGTTGATGGCTGATTCTACCCATCGATTCGACATCTAAATTCAATGATGGTGTTATGGTGAATATAGGCGGTGTTGATTTATTCAATAATGATGATTTTCTTGGCTGTTCTTTTTCCTCTAAATGTTCATCATTATGACCACCAATATCATTGTTAGATTCCGGGTGAAAAGAATCAACATTCGATGATGATGAAATAGTTGTGAAACAATGATGAATACCATGAATGATTGTTACAAAAAATTTCACAATCGACTCTCCAGTCAATTTGATTCGTCGTTTCATTGTCGATACCGATGATGATGACCAAGCAGCTTCAGGCCATTCGATTATATTTCGTTTGAACATCAAAATGATAATGATCAATATGGAAAGAAACGCAGCTAAAACAACGGCAGCCAACAGATGCAGAATATTGACCGATGTTTCACGGATATAGAAATTTTTATTACGGAAAAAATTTTTCATCGTTGATGATGATCCATAAGCATAAAAGTATAGAAATCCGTTATGTCTTTGTCTTACGCAACTAGTCGTGGTGAATGATCGATGTTTCGATGATGATGTTTCATTTAGACTGGTAATCTCAGTCCAAAGTCCATCTTCACGGCAACGAAACCATAAACTTGAACGTGTTAGATTTGAACGTTGAACATCTTGTGTGGAACAAATCAATTCAGCTAATGCAGAAAATTTTGTCGATTCATTTACCATTCGAAATTGTGCACCGGATAGAAAAAATTCTTCCGAATTGATCAATAATGATTCTGGATGACCACAATCGATTGCTGTTAGGGGGAAGAAATAATTGTTAAAAATCAACCCGAAATGGACATTTGAAAAACATACGTTCACATTGTGGAATGTCTGAACTGCCGGACCATTGTCCATTCGGGTCACAGATACGTGTATCATTGGAATTGGAATCAACAAAAACAAAACCCGGACGACATTCATAAACAGTACGTGAACCAACAACAGGTTGATCATAGTGATCTTCCCCATACATTCGATAAAATCCATTCGGGATGGAAATTGGCTGTTGACATGTGATTCGTTCACAATATGGTTCGCGACCAATCCATTGTCCGGTTTGTTGATTACATTGACGTCGTGTTTGACCCATCAAACGATAACCATCATGACAATGATATTCAACTGAACGCAAACCATCCACCGAAATCTGCTGATCCACTACATAACCAAATGCCGGTACTTCAATCTGGCCACATTCATAACGATTACGCTCAACAAATACATCCACTTCACAAAGACCGAAATATTCTAATTGGGGATAATCATCTTCGATTTGTAAATAGTTTCCATGAAGACCACCACCATTGGATGACGATGAACATTGTACGAATATTGTTTTGGATGAAAATACACCACGAAATGATGCGCATTTATGATATTTGGACGATGTTGACATTGTTGTTGTTGGACCTGATGAGGATGATGTTTTTGTTGAATTCATCATTGGAAAGGTGTCATTATCATGATGATCATTAGTTGTTAGTGTTTCCACTTCAATCACATAGATTGAAAAATAAAGTTCAGCATCTATTGATGAAGCACATTTCAAATTTGAGCAACAACAAAAACAATTTTAAACATTTTATCCATACTTATTGGCGGTAATGTTAATGCAATCGATATAATCGATTGATTTTTGTCGTCCATCACTTGTCTGGGTAATTCAACACGCCACCATCTGGGTTTACGACGATTCGAAAAGAAACATGTTCGAAAATTTCCATCCACTGCTAATTGTGGTGGATAATTATTCAACGCTTCGGATGCTGATGTTAAACCGAGATTCCTAATCGATTGATCTATGAGATAATAAGATTTTTTCTAAATTAATTTTTCAAACAAATCAAAACAAATCAACATACCACAAATAGGCATCCGTCCTGACCATGTACTATTGGATTGACATGTACGTGTCATAGGACCTAATAGAAAATAACCCGGATCACATTCATAGGTAACAACCATTCCCTGTTCATAACGTTCCAATAGATGTAATACACGACCGTTTAACGGTGATCCCGGATAACCACATTGGCCACGTACTAATGACATTTTCAATGATGGTGAATCAAATCTTGCACTACCATCATCATCATCATCAGCAATATTTGATCGACCTCCATACAAATCCTCATAATCATTGTTGTCGTCTGCAATGAAAATCTTTTCATCCACTTTGCTTGTTGTTGGTTCATTGATTATATCATCATCGACAGCAGAAGCAGCAGCTGAATCACAAGTGAATGAAACAAAATCAATGAGAAAAATTTAAAATTTAAATGTCGTGAGAAAATCAAAAAAAAACTGCAAAGAAAAAGAAAAGAAAGTTCAGGTAAATCACCTGAACCTTAGGTAAGAAATCGGGGACAAAATGGAAGTCCTAAGACCAAGGATAACCAATTTAAATCGATGACAGCTGGGTTCAGTGGTGCACATTGGTTACACCAGCAAAGGAAAGGAAAATTCAACCAGCTGTCGTCATCATCTTATAAGGTCACACTATTTCCCCCTTCAACATGCTATACAGGTGAGAGAAGGAAAAGTGATCTAAAGAAATTTAACTTTAAAAAATCAAGAACAGAACAAGTCTGATGGATTGATTTTTTAAAGTAAAGTTGATCACATAAAGGTGAACAAATGGAGGCTACTGTAAGAAACAACAATAATTTTAGTTAGTTTCCGCCTATAGTAAGCGAAGAGGCCATATGTTTGGTTGGGGAAACATTTTCCCAAACGGCTAAAAACGGCAAACACCAAACCGTCAAACAGACAGACGACCAATAGTGAATTTAAAGGCCATATGGCTTTTTTCTTATGTTTTTCCAAAATGATCAATATCATCATGATTATTTTGAACAAAATTATCAATATGGTTTTTCATGTTTGTTTTGGTTTTTCTTGGATCTCTGCATCCGGAAATCATTCAAATCAAAAAGAAATTTCAGAGCAAAACTTACCATTTATTAATAATGATGATAGAATGATGGCGATAATCAAAATAATGATCGGTAGATTTGAAAAATATTGAAAATTATTCATTGTTGAATTTTGAAACCAAAAATTGAAAGTTGGAAATTTGAAAAAAAATTAAACAAAAATCATGATGAATATTTTAAACATTAATTCGATGAAATAGCACATAAATTAAACATCCAGGTGAATTGTATGAATCGAAAAAAAGTTCGTTGAAAAAATCACATCCACACACTGAACACGACAAACACTAAACATCGAATGAATGAATGAACGAACCAAACACCGATCCAAAAGTTTAAATGGAACCCCAGAAAAAAACTGTTACGGGGTTCGATCGACCGACAAACAGACGTTGATGACACACCCGATAATATCATTCAGAAAAAGGGTCTCGCGTGCAAAGGCGGTTCGTTGCATTCAAAATGCAACAGTTGGTCAATGATGGTGTGCGATACATCACACAGACTAAGGTTAACGATGTATAGGTCAAAAGAGAGAGACAGAGAAATGGAGACCCAGAGTAGTACAACAGTGTAAGGCCATACAGTCAGCTTTTATCGGCTGCTTAGATAGGGAAAAAGATCCTAAGCCAAATCAAACGGGGATGAACAAAAAAAATGAACAGCCGGCGTTAGTTCCGTTTTTTTTGCTTTGGTTGTTCGATAACGTAAAAAACCGGAACGGAAACAGCACACACTGTCACATTAAATGTCACATCAATGTCACATCAAGCGCTTTGGTCGATTTTTTATTTTGACTGGATTACAATTCAACCGAACAAAAAACGATAGGGTCCATGCTTCTCGTCATCCTATTCAATGCTTATAACGATCACCATCATCAACATCACGATCAAAAATCAACCAAGCTGAACCGAGAAACTAAAAAACATTCATCAAACAAACCAAAGTATGAAATGAAACAGGAAAAAAATTCATAAATATGATACACATCTCAGCTTTTTGAAATTAGATTTTTTTTGGAAAACAAAAAATCTTTCTAATGAATCGAATGGAATGACAATTCAATGCGTTGATTCAAGGCGTTAACCAATATCTAATGTTTTCATCCATCTTTCTCTCTTTGTTTGTCTTTTAAAAAATGTTTTTGTTGAAATTCAACAGGACATTCAAGATGTCCATAATAAATTGTAATTATCATTTTTTTCACTTGCTAAGATTGTCATCGTCATTATCAAAGATGACAAACAAAAAACGTGTGTGCTCAATTCTTCTTTTAATAATTTCATAAATGGTGATGATGATGATGTTATGGTCCAGTGATGATGTTACACCAAAGTGCTGATGCACACCTCTTTTTATTTGTTTCATTTTATTTCCAAATACAATTATCATGATGAGGATTTTTAAATTCTTAAAATTTTAAAAGTTTTATCTGAAAAAATTAAAGTTTAAAAAACCAAAATTATCATCGTTAAATATCCAGGTGCAGATAATTTTCTTCTGTTTTTTCGTTAAAAGAGTTATAGTACACAGGTGAAACGAAAGAAAGGAAATTAAACAAAGAAAATAAGAGAAACCCAAAGGTCATATAGAAACAAACAAACAAGCAAGGAGTTGTAACCTTTTTTACTCAGATTTTGTCATGAAAAAAGAATGAATGAAAAATCTAATTGAAAATCCATTCATAGAACAAATGAAGAGCAAACATCAAAAGTTGATCAAAAATCTTTTGGCGAGTTAGCCGCACCCAAATCATTTTGCGAAAAAAAGTAATGGATGTGACTTGTTTGTCTTTATTTTGTTCGAATGAACCGTTCGTAGATAAATTATACAAATGAAATAAGAAGAATCTATAATTTAATTCAAGATTTATAAATAAATAAAGTACGCATTGGACAAACAAAAACATCAACAACAACAAAAATCAATCTATATGGGAAAAAAGCGTTTACGAAAATTAAGAAATTTAAATTTAGCCAATTTGGCTTGTTGTGGTGACCAAAATCGACCACGTCTTGTTGATAATGGTGGTATTAATTCATTATTATGATTTTGATTATTATTCAACGATGATGAGGATGATTGACGTTGATTATTATTATTATTTTGATTACTTTGATGATTATAATAATATCTCGGATAATTATTATTAACAACATTCCATTTAATTTGATTTTTATTATTTAAATCACGTGTAGCTTCGATAATTATTGGCATCATTATTTTGGATTTTTTATCCATCGATGATGATGATGATAATTGAAATGGTTTAGCAATCAATACGATTAAATCATTGGCATTGGTAAATTTATTATGGCCATCATTCGAATCCAAAGTAAATTCATTATCGAAATCTTTAATTAGATCCAAATCATCATTATGACGATTATTATTGATTGTATCATTTCGTTTCATGGATTCTTGATCAAAGGATTTACCTTGAATGCAAAAAAAGAAAAATTATTCTTCTCAAAACATGTTGATCATTCACGCACATACCTCGATTATTATTGATGACAAAACAATCACCAATTTGGAACATTAATATGACAAACAGCAATAATTGAGGATATAATTGATTCATTATCAACTTTGTTTTTCTTTCTGGTTTCTTCGAATAACACACACTTGTTTTTGTTGGTAGAAATGACAATTTTTTAAATTTTATCAATTTTCCTGTGTAAGCATCATGAAATGATCTGAATCAATGAATGATAAAATGGACCAAAACATTTGTCGTTCGATTCAATTGGATGTTTTTCCATTGAAATAATTTCATTTTCTTTTCGTAGTTTTTTTCTAAATTTTCTATTCGATTATATAATGATTGAATTGAATGTGGGTGGTGGAGAAAGGCTAAAATCAGTGAAAGATTGAGAGAAAATGAAAACGAATCAAACGAAAAACACAGAGAGAATCGTTTTGATGATGATGTAACATTTTTTATGATGATGATGATGATAATGTCGAGAAGAGAGACAAAATTAGTTGCAATTTTGATAGTGAAAATGAAAAATACTCACATTTCTTATCGATTTTCACATAAACATTTATTTTTGTTGTTCCAAACAAAAAAACCAAACCAACAACCATGTGTGATGAACACCAACGATAAAATTTGGCCAAAATATTTTTCTTTGTTGAACATCATTTGTTGGGCACACCATTATCATCAAACAAAAAAAATGATCAAAATGATCTTGGCTATTGAATTTTTTTGTTTTGACTTTCTCGCATTGTGTGCGATCGAACAAAAACTCGAGGAAGAAAGAGAGAAATAAAAGGGAAAAAGGTCTACTGACATCCTATTCATAAATGACGGAACGGAAAAAGGTAAACAAACAAACAAACATCTTTGTTTAATATCACATCAAAAAAAAATCTTTTTAGAAAAACAAATTTTTTCGGGGCCAAAACACATTGCTTATTTGTGTTGTCAATCATATCAAACAAAAACAAACAAACAAATAACAAAACAAAAACTATCAAGCAACAAGTTTTTGTTGTTGTTTCGTTTAGCAATAACAATTTCGTTAAAAAACAAAGAAATTAAACAAATCAAATGAATAAATTATTTGTGTGTGTCCATTTCTTTCAATAATGATTCTTTTTTTGTTTTGTTTTGGAACAACAAATTGATTGAACCACAACAAACAAACAACGAAAAACAAAAAAGCTTTTTTGTTTTTTGATTTAAAATTCGAAAAATAAAAAAAATTGGGTGGTTAAATGGAAATGTCATTTGCATGTGGTGGCCGCAAAAATCCAGTTATCCAAAAAAAACGAATTTTTATCGTTTTTCATTTCGAGGTCAATTTATCTTTGTCGGATTTTTTCTCTCGATTTGATGATCCAAAAGAAAAACAAAACAAAAAATGCAACATTTTTGCCATAAAGATTATGATAATGGAAAATCTTAATTTGATTTCTGTTTTTTTTTGGTCAAAACTTAAAAGGATTGGTGGTTATCATCATCATGGTTGTTGCTTTATCAGCAAATTTGTTATTGCATTATTATACAATCAAGATGAATGAATGAATGAAAACAACGAAAATGATAATGATGATCTTGAAAAAAGAAAAGGTGTGTTTTTTGCTTGTTGCTGTTACAAAATGATATTATTATCATTCAATCATAATGATGACACCATTTATTTTGTTTTTTTAATCCTTCAGAAATTTGTCGTTTTTCAATTCAATTTACCATTGTTGTTGTGATGGTGGTGTGGAATGATGTGAAATCTTTGATCTTTGATGTTGGCGATACTCATTTGATGATGATGATTATTATTCATTATGGAAATTTTGTTCATATCCAAAATGCTCATTCAATTTATGTGATTATTTATTGTTGAAGAGAAATCATTTGCAATGCTATTACTTTGGCAATTGATTAATGTATCATAATTTGTAATTTGTAATTTCTGTCAAAAAAAATCATGAAAAATATGATAACCGTTTCAGAATCATTATTTGATCAAACTAGATACAATTTCATTGAATAAACTAATTTCATCATTGGAATTTCATTTTATCAATTTTGTTTATTCAGATCAAACATGTTTGCTTTAATTAATTAATCAGATATTACGATATAATCTAAATGATTTTCAATCATAAAGATTGGGACATTTTTCCATTTCACATTTCCATTATTATTCGATCAATCTAGTTGTCAATTCAATCAAAATCAATTGAATTTTTATTTTTGAAAATCATGATTTTTTCAAAAAAAATTCGGTAACATTCTTTATGAACGGAACATCATGCCTGTTTTTTCCAAAACAATTTTTGGATTTGTTTTTGTTTGAATGAAAAATTCTTTATAAAAAATTACGAAATAAATCGATAAATCCATAATGGAAGTTGATGATAACGAACAAATTGAAATCAAAGACGATTCAAAAATGAATGAAAAACAACCGCCGATAAATGAAAAACCACCACCGATTTGTGTTATAATTCTTGGTATGGCTGGTAGTGGTAAAACATCATTATGTTCAAAAATGGTTCAACATTTATTCGGGAAAAATAGACCGCCATATGTAATCAATTGTGATCCAGCATGTCATCGGGTAGATTATCCATGTAATATTGATATTCGTGATTCAATACATTATAAAAATGTGATGGAAAAATATCAACTTGGCCCAAACGGTTCAATTATAACATCATTGAATTTATTCGTAACACGTTTTGATCAGGTTTTAGACCTTGTTGATAAACGTAAACAATCATATGAGTAAGTTTAACAATCAATCAATCCGAATGAGATTTAATTATTTATTATTGTTTTTGTTAGTTATGTTTTACTGGATACACCTGGTCAGGTAGAAGTGTTTACATGGTCAGCATCAGGTTCAATAATAACCGAATCGCTAGCATCGAAATATCCAACCGTAATACTATTTGTTATCGATACTGTACGTAGTCATAATGCAACAACATTTATGTCGAATATGTTATATGCATGTTCAATAATGTATAAATATAAACTACCAATCATTGTTGCATTGAATAAAACCGATATTATTGATCATCAATTTGCTATTGAATGGATCAGAAATTCAGAGATATTCGAAGCTGCTATTAATGAAGACCAAACATATATGGCCTGTCTCAATCAATCATTAGTATCAGCATTAGACATATTTTACCAAGATTTATCTGTTATTGGTATTTCATCCAAAACTGGTGAAGGTTTTACCGAGCTATTTGATGCAATTGATGAGGCCAGAAAAGATTATGAACAAAATTATCGTATTGAATTACAACAACAACAAAATGAATCACAAACCATTGAAGAATTGCAACAAAAAACGGATAAAATATCATTAAATGATGATAATAAAGCCGGAACTGAATCCACAACAACAACAAAGGAAGATTTGATTACATTTGGTAAGCGAAGAATAAACTTGGATACCTAATACCTATAGGTATACGACAACAATATTTCGAAAAAACAAAGCTTTTTTCTCTTTATACACCGTTATTGAAGATAACCGAAGCAAGCAAACAACATTCATATCAAAACGATTTTGATAAATAATTCATCTCGTTGAATAATGTTTGTTTGAAACCAAATTAAACTAATGGAATTATGTTGAATGCCATAATGTTTTAATAAAAAATTTCATTCATCAGGTTTTCCGGATTTAATGATAATGATATCATTTTCATTTTTTTGCTTTATTCAAATTTGTTTATCTTTTTTTGTTTGTTTGATTTGTGATGCATTTACATTGTATATTTTTACAAATTATTTCCTCGTCAGGAAAAATGAATTTATTCAATATGGATAAGTTTGGATGATTATGATGAATGAATGTTTGACGTGTGCGATACAGTTTCAGAATTGAAATTTTTTTCTTTCAAAAAACCAGGTTTATTCGTAAACAGCCAAAAAATGGAAACCTTTAATGGAATAATGATCAATGAATGTGAAAATATGATGTGACATGATATTTCCATTTGGTGGAAAAAAGAAAATTATTGATTTTTTTGGATGAAAAATCGATTTTCTATCCTTCATATTTTTTCAACAAAAATTCAAAATTGAAAAACTTTCAAATTATAACAAGTGAATTGCGCGTGCGTCTGTGTGTGGAAAGAATTAAAATCAAAAGAAAACTGGTTGAAACTTTTTTTAAATTAAACACTTCATCAAACATAAAGGTATTGCACTTTTTTCAAAAATAAAGATTAAAACAAGAGCAGAAAAAAATGAACTAAATTTCTTCAAACTTAAAAATTAAAAAAAATAATGTTATAAATAATTTAAAATTAACAAAAAGAAACAAATCTTGATCCTGATTTATCGGTATGTGCAGTGAAGAAATCGTTAATGATAAAAAATGGTTGAGATTAGTTTTTTTTGGCTACTAAACCAAATCAACAAACAAAGAATATGATTAATTTTTTCATTCGTGGATCCTAATGGATTTTTTTCCTTTTTCATTTCAATCAATTAATCAATTCATTCAGAATGAAAAAAACTTCCCTAAAAACTAATCTTCAATTGTTCATTATCATCGAGCGAAGCCAAGCCAAAAAAATTAATCAAAAATTCAATACAATTCATATGACCCATAATAATCCCCTTAGCCTTCCTTTTTTTGCCTGTAATTAACATCAACAAAACAACAAAAAACCATTGTCCACAACATTATATAATAATGAAAGGATTAAATGATATATGGTTGGCTGTTGGCAAATTGAAATCCATTTTGTTTTTGAAATGAAATGATTAAATCATTTTCCGATGATGATTATTATCATTATCATCATTATTTCGCCCACTATATAGTCCATCATGTTAATCAGGTTTTTCATTAGACAGTCGAAAAAACAAAAACAAATCATCATCAATATGGATGTCGACTTTGAAACATGAATTCTCTCTTCTCGAGATTATGGTCTGGAAAAGAAAAATTCATTGTTTTACGGGTGGATGGATGGATTGTGGTTTGTATGTCACATTCAGTCATCCATTTTCTCTTTACTATTATGATGCTAATTTTAGATTTTGTTTTTCACTACACCAGTTTCGTGATTGTGTGGTACAGCCATTACCATTACCATCAATAAACGAACAAAAAATCCAGGTTATATTTCCATTTTTGCATGTTCCCAACTTGCTTGTGCTCTTCACCTCTTCATTGAATAAAGATTGAACTTTTCTTTTTTTGGTCTCTTTTCGTTCGGTTTTTTCTCTTTTTTGTTGATATTTTTTATTTCGTATATAAATTCCGAGCAATTTCGTGTCCGAATTATTTTGTTTAGTTTTTCCATCCAAAATGTATGTCTTAAATCGTTTTGAATTATGTGTATCATCATCATTGTTGATAATATTCTGTTGTTTCATCCGAATTGATGCAAAACAAGTCGATGTTACTGAAGAAGCGATATTCGATCTATCGATTGGTGGCAAACAAATCGGTACAATTGTTATTGCATTATTTGGTCGTGATGTACCAAAGACTGTTGCCAATTTTGCACGGTTATCCAGTTCGGAAGGCTACCAGGGAAAATCGTATCGTAATTCCCGTTTTCATCGTATAATACCGAATTTCATGATACAAGGTGGTGATATTATACGTGGTGATGGTCGTGGTTCTTTCTCCATCTATGGTGGACGTTTTGCTGATGAAAATTTCAATATTAAGCATACTGAAGCTGGTTTGTTATCGATGGCAAATTCTGGACCCGATTCGAATGGATCACAATTTTTCATAACATTAGTACCAACACCATGGTTAGATGGTAAACATGTTGTATTTGGTAAAGTTGTATCCGGTATGGAAGTTATACAGCAAATTGCCTCCGTACAACGTGATGCTAATGATCGTCCATTAGATGATGTCGTCATAACCCGTTCGGTTACACGTCCGGTTAATGCACGTTTAATCATACCCAGCCAATAATCAATCGATTTTTGTATTATATCAATCATTCTTTTATTGAATCAAAATAAAACACACAAACAGAGCATGCGCTTTACAAGGCATGCATCTTTTCTGTTTACATTTAATTTTTGGTTTTTTGTTTTTTCGATGATCATAATAAGTGGACATGGAGAATGTGCGAAAAAAGAAAAATTAAACAACCAAAAGAAAAACCAAATTTGGAAGTTTTTTTCAATTACATTCAACATTCACATTTTCATCTTGAGTAAAAATGAAAAAAGCGATATTCACGATAATCATCCATTATCATCGATTATTGATTGATTTATTGAAATTTAAAGGGAATTTTTTTTGTTTAATTTTCCTTTTAAAATTCTTTTGGCGAAAAGGAAAGAAAAAAATTCACATAATTAATTCCAATGGATTCATTCATTGATGACGTTTTATATGTGAGCGGGGGAAAATTTGAAAACATTCGAATTCTGTTCACACTCGAAAAAAAATCTGATTGATTAGATTGTGATGATGTCAATCGATCGATGATTTCTTTCATCTCAATGTATTTTGATTTTCCTTCATAAAAAATAAAATTAATAATAAATTACCAATATCATTAATATTATGAAATTATCAAGTAATGCAAATGACAATCTTTCCGGTTTTTTCCACTTGATTCTTGCTGCATCGACAAACGAATGAAGGAAAGAAAAAGAAAAAAATTCAGTTTTTTGTTTGGTATATAAATGAGGATGAGTGTTTGCAAACCAAGCATCACTTTCCTGTTTGTTTTTCTGTTTTTATTTGATTTTTTACAAAATAAAATAATTCATTATTAAATTTGAATAAGTATTTATCAATCTTCGACTACAACTACAACTTTCATTATCATCATCCTTTTCTGTCGTTTGCAAAAAATCAAAAACCAAAAAAAGTGATCAACCAAACAACGACGATCAAGTGGTAAAGCAAACAAATTGTAAATGATTATGATGATTAGTTTATAATGTTGATTTTTTTCAATTTTTATATTTAGTTTCGACCATACGTGCAACTTTGAACTTGAAACACTGTTCGTTCTCTCCTAAACTTTTTAATTTTATGCATCGATTTTATCATTATCATCCAATCGCTCAGTCACAAGATCATAAAGGTTTTAATTGATTTAGTGGGGAATTCATTAAAACAAAATCAATAAAATTTCAAATATCGTGACAATACACGTCATCATCACTTGGTTTTATCAAAGAAATTATAAGGGAATTCACAAAAACAAAAACATTATAATCGTCATCGTGAAGAAGTGATTTTTTTCTATTATTTTGAAAATCATGGAATCACCATCATTATTATCAATTCAATCAATGATTTCTACCAATAATAATAATACCGATGCAAATATGAATGAAAATTTTCATTCATGGTTTGAATTGATTGGGACATTATTCTTTGATTATCCAATAAATCTTGAGAAATTAGTAAGTATTGATCGAATTTCATTTTGAAACTGGAAAAAACCAAAAGAAATGAAAACTTTTCATTTGAAATGAAATTTGATTCTTTTTTCTGACATTTCATTTGAGAAAAACAAACGAAAAAAGTTTCAATTCTTTGTGTAAATGAATAATTTAATAGGAATTTAAACTTTAAATTAGAAAACAATATTTAAAGTTCATCATCCTTACCCTTGATTTTGCAAAACTAAGTTAATGAAATGATTACCTTTACTTTTTTGTAGACAAAATATTTTCGTAATAATTGGCAAATAAGTATTTATTATTCAGCATTATATTTAATATTGGTTTTAATTGGAACCCGGTGGATGAAAAATCGACAACCATATAATCTTCGTTTATTATTAGCCATATGGAGTGGTACATTATCATTGTTTTCCATGGTTGGCACAATCAATACATGGCCTGAATTTGTGAAAATGTTCTGGCATAATGGATTTGTTTCAACATATTGTAATAATTCCTATATCGATGATGATAATCTGATATTTTGGTATACAATATTTTCATTGTCAAAATTACTTGAATTATTCGATACGGCATTTATTGTGTTACGTAAACAAAACTTATTGACATTACATTGGATACATCATATATTGACATTTGTCTATACATTTTATATATTTGGATTCAAAGCTGCAACTGCCCGATGGATGGTATGTTTTATTGATGATGTTTAAATTTGCATAACAAAATTAATTCAAACAATTTAGGTAACAATGAATTTAGCTGTTCATTCGGTAATGTATGGTTATTATGCATTACGTGCCATGAAAATATCCATACCTCGACAGATTGCAATGGCAATTACTGGTGCCCAAATTGTACAGATGATATTCGGTTTGATTATCCATGGCCATATAACATGGTTGAAATTATTTTCCAAACAACAACAATGTGATTGTCCATTCAATGGTATCATCTATGGTCTATTAATGTATCTGTTATATTTTTATTTTTTTGTTCAATTTTTTATCGATTCATATTTTAACAAACCAACAAAAACCACGAAACAATCAAAAGAAAATGGTGAAATTGGTTATTGTCAAAAATCATCAACAAAAGAATATAGTTCAGATAAATGCTATATTGATGATATTATTAATAATAATATTAATCATCTCCAACATCACGATAGAAAAATGAAAAAATTTCAATAACGAAATTGTTAGAAAAGAATTATTTGTTTATAATTAAATTAATTAATTATATTTTAGTTTACATAACAGTCCATATTTCAAAGGCAATCATAAGATGTGTGTTTGTTTGGGTGTATGAATTGTGTCAACATTAACTGAAAAAAAATTCAATTATAAAATGTGCAGATATTGATTCATTTGTATTCTCTGGACGGATATTTATGGAAATTTATCTCATTTAATTTGATTGACTAATTGAATGATTGGATTTACTTTTCCTATCCGGTAATATTACTTCGGTGAAATCGGCATTTTCATTCAACGAATAATTTCCACTGGTTTGCTTTTGCTTCAATGATGATGATGATAACGTTGATGGTAATTGTACCAAACATTTGATTGGATCACCAATGCTATCATTATCATCATTATGATTATCATTATTTTTGCCATTCAATTTTGTGTTTCGTCCATCACTATCACTATCGATTTTTGGGATTCGATTCGAATGTTGCTTATGATGATGATGATGGTGATGGTGGTTACGATGATGATGCGAATGATGATAATGTTTATTATGAAATTGTTGTTGTTGTTGATGATAATTTGGTGATGGACATGGTGATGAATTTGATATGGTTGATGATGATCTAAAACCAGCATCGGCTGCATCATCCTTATCATCATCACCGATAGTGAATATATTTAATCGTACACCGCCCATTTTTGGTGGTGCAACCATATAAGATCGAATATTTGGATTATTTTTCATTGATGATGATAATTGTTGTTGTTGTTGTTCTGGATGAATGGGATCAAAATGATAATTAGGATTGGACATTTGTTGATGTTGTAGATTAGTTGGGCCAATATATTGCCAAATACCATCCCCACGATTAACAGCACTCCAATAACCATAGGAAAACAATGCAATGGAAAATATGGTGAATGTTAATGCAACATACATCATTTCATTATGACGGCCTCGAATAGCAATAAACATTGCCACCAATATTAACAATAAAAATGTAAAACCCAAAAATTTGCCCAATGTTTTGTTCGATATCTTTGATCGACGTTTTATTCTTCGAGGTAAATTATGGTGTTGATGGTGATGGCGGCGATGCTTATGACGATGATCAATTCTATGATTGGATGAATTGGCATCATCACTATCGATAATCGATATGGCAGTCGGATTATTCATCATGATGATGATGATGGAATTTGTTTTTTAACTTAGATTCAAAAAATGTTTTCTTTTTTCGTGGATGATGATAATGCTGATTGTTGTTGTTGAAATGATCGATTTTTCGATATGACATATCGTTGTTGTTGTTGATCTGGTTCTGGTTAGACTCACTTTGCTATCGTTTTCTTTCAAGAATTTTTCCCTCTAAAAATTTTCACAATTTTATTAAAACAAGAAATTTTTTCAAAATTAATAAAATTCTTTATTGACGTTTCAAGTAGATTTTGAAAAAATTCCTGCACCAACCACCGAAAACAACAGCCAAAAAGACCATTTTTCTTGATAAATGTCAAAACAAGTGAAAATAGTGTCCTGTATTTTTTCGGAAAAAGAGAAAATACTAACCAGCAGCCAGAAAAGCACACAATGATTCTGAGCTCGAAAAAGTAGGAAACAAATTCTGAAACTGAATTTTGTTTTCTCTGGTTTTCCATATCATTTCACATTGCACGCATTTGGACGCAAACTCTAAATAATAAATAATAATAAATATTTTCAGGCGAAAAAAGTAGCGAGTCATTTCGTTTTCTATATGTCTTTCGATTCTCTTGAATTCTGAACCTAAAAATTCTTTGTTTGCGTGTTGTTGTTGCTGTCATAATGATTGTTTGTGAACATAAACACACAGTGAAACAAACAGTATAAAATATAACCTGGTTTCAAACTAATAACAATAATGATGAACCAGAAACATAAAAACGGCCTTTTATTTTTTAGTAAAAAAACATAAATATATTCTCTGAGAATAAATAACAAGAATTATGTTCAAAAACAATATTGTTCTGAAAAACCATACAATCTAATGAAAAATGAGAATACAAGAAAGGTAGTTGAATGACAATAAAAATAATGATGATAAACTAGAAAAACTATGTTGAATCTATCATGAATCTCATTTCCTGAATTGAATCGGGAAAAGAATAAATCTTTTGTCATTCAAATTTTGGTTGGTTTATATTGTTAAAGAATGCTGTTTCCATAACAACAACAACAATCATAATAGCAATCATTTTTTGGAAAGCAGATTGTTCAGTTTTGTTTGTTGCAGAAAATTCTCATTATTATATCGAAAACGAAATCAAATCGGATCAGATCGGATCGGATGTCATTTATGAATGTATTTTTTTATTTTTTTATTCATTCCAACACAATAGAAACAACAAAAAAATTGATCAAAATGATGAGAAAACGAAAAACAAATCGGCAAAAAAAAAACGGATATGAACATTGTGTTTTTCTGAACTGTGGCACTATTTGAAATCGATTTTATTTTAACCTAAATGCGAGCCCCAGGTTTGTGGCTGTGTTGCTGATGGTTGGCCATATGATTGTTGAATGGCGGCACCGGTAGAGGAACCAGCACGTACTGCAATAGCAGCTATTGGTCGAATGGTCAATGTATTCGGTTGATGATTACCAGCAGCAGCTGATGAAGCAAATTGAGCACCACCAGGACCTAATTGTAGTGTAGTTGTATGTTGTGCTGGAACGCCTGGTGATGATGAAGCAACAGCCGGCGATGAGTATTGTTGTGCCGGTGATGCGTATTGTTGTGCCGGTGATGCGTATTGTTGTTGAGCATATTGGGCATATTGCGGTTGCTGTTGTGGTGCAGCAGCTGCGGGAATAGTACCACCAATATGGCTTTGAGCCCATTGTGGAATGGCTGGAACTGAAACTGCAGCCGATGATCCAACACTTCGTGCAACTGGAGCCGAATGATAAGCGGGAACGGAAGCAGGTGCAGCTGCTGCTGCGGCACCATCACCACTACCTAAAACTTGAAAACCACCAACACCGGCTTGATATTTAACTAAACGTTGTTTGCCATCGGCATCAACAAATCCATATTGACCTTGAACGGTACCATCAGGTAATCGGGATTCTTCACGAAAACTATTACCATCACCAGTTCGATAGCCAAACTATCAAGGTAAAAAAATTGTTATCATGGATGTTTGAACGATAAGAAAAACTTACTCGATAATCTCCGGCTAGATTTTCACCAATTTGGGCATAATGAACAGAAGCTGGCCGATGTAATGCTGCGGGAGCAACAGCAGCAGGAGCAGGTGCGTGTGCAGGTGCACCCGTTTGGTACGAGGAAACTTGGGGAGCAGCCAAAGCTTGTGGGTGTGATTGCGATTGTGGTTGTTGGGGCTGTGGTTGCAATGCTTGATGTTGAACTTGCCAACCATAATTCGAAGGAACGGCAGCAGCTGCAGCTGCCTGAGCTTGTGCTTGAGCTTGAGCTTGAACAGCAGATGCGGTCAAGCCTAGACCAGCATATGGACTAACGGCAGCAGCTTGCGGTTGCGGTTGAGCAGAATATTGGCTATATTGAGCTGGAGAAGCGGCAGGTGCATAGCCAGCGTTTGGTGCCGAACCATATACACGGATTGGCTGTGCCAATTGTTGCGGTGACAAGCTATATGCTTGACCTAATGTGGCCGATGTCGATGGTGTCGGTGGTGTATAATATTGAGCTTGACCAGCTTGGCTCAATGAATGCTGACCATGACTCAAGCTGATAATTGCCGACAATATCTATAAAGCAATTCAAAGGTAAAAAACGATTAAACACGGGAAAAATGTTCGGGAAATTCACCACCAATTTACCAATAAATATTTCATCATTTGTTCGTTGGTTTTTTCTATTTATTTTAATTTAAAATTCAGAGTTTATAATTATTGCAATTCGATTCTCATCTGCGAATTGATTTTGAATGAAATGCTGTAATCACAAAACAAAAAACAAAGTCGATTTTTGAATCGAATGATCAATTTATCAATATGATCATTGGATTTTTATGATCGGTCCTCGTTTTTGTTTGTTTTCTCTCATTCAATCATGATCATTCCAAAACTGAAATGAATATTTTCAAAAGAGAATCGCATCAAACAAAACATTCAAACTTGTTTCATTCTTTCTCTTTTTTGTAGAAATAATATTTCTGAAGAGACAATCTTCTTCTTTGGTCCATCAATCTATCTTATTATTATTATTGAGGGCCATTTTTGTTGCAAGAAAAAAGGTTGATAAAGAGATAATGGAACAAGTGTCAATGGCAATTGTTCTTTTCGAAATTTTTTAAAGCATATTTAAAAAAATCAAGTTCAATCACAATAATCAAATTGATTGGTCTGATTTTTTTTGGGCCCATGTGATTGAAATAAATGAAATTAGGCCAATCAATACAAATCGATTGGAAATTTGCAACAACAAAAATATTCCCACATTTGAGCTGAATTGAAATTGTGTGAATTGATTGATTGGTTGATTGGTCAACATATTCGAATTCGGGTTAAAATTTTATTGCGAATCAAATGTGTTGATTGATTAATGAGAATGGTTTTATGGAATTGAATTGAATTCTTTTATTGGTTTGCAAATTTTTTTCATTAGTAATTTCGAATCCAAGCCAAAATCCCAAACGCAATTTGTTGTTTTATTGAAAATCACTATGGTAGACCACATTATCATTTGAATGAACGGAATGGAGGTGAAGGTCATGATGATGGTGATCAAAGATAATCGATTGTTTGTTATGAATGGATATGTTAAATATCAAAAAACAACAGGCAGTGATGGTGACCATGGTGATCATTTTGCTATTTGAACATTATCGATAAACCATCATGATGATAGTGGATGAAGCCGCCACCCTTGGGCCAATTCTTCAAAAATAAAAGAGTTTTATTCATAATGATGACAGAATGATGGATCGATGCCAAGTCAAGTAATCATTTCCAACAAATCAACAACAACAAGTTCTCTGTTGTAATAAGACTATTCTTGGAGAAAAAATCAATATTTTACACAATTTATTTATGGCTGCCCACATAAAGAAAACAACATTGTGGTGTAAATATCAGATGGAATCCAAATTGCCACAATCAAAACAAAATCTCAAAGAATGAAATGGACAAAGTAATAAAAAATGAATGAAAAAAATTTCTTCATCAAGATGGATGGATTGGACCGATTTGGAAAACAATTTTATGGCCATCAAGTTCTATGGACATTTGTGATTTTTTTGCTGAAGGAAAAAAATATTACAATTCTCGCTATCAAAAAACGTGTTGAGGATCATGAACGTGCGTGATTATCATTCATTCAATTCAATCATACGCCCAAAACAAAACAAAACAAAATTCGATTTTCAATCATTCTTACAGACAGAAACGAAAAAGAAAAAAAGAAGTATGAAAATTAAATCAAATCGAATCCCCCTGTTTATCGGACATGCATTTACTGCAAAACAAACAATAACTAAACGAACATCACGATCATCACGATCATGACACCTTTCTATTATTTTTATATGAATGTTTTGTTGTCGGGAACAATTTTTGTTCGGGTAAAGCTTTCATTTTCAAAAAATTTATTCATTTTCCAAATCTCAAATGGAAATTTACATTTTTCTTGCCTTTGGAAATTAGATATATTTTTCCAAATGAAATGTGAAGTGCAAAACTAAAAAATGAAATTGGCCCAGATCTAATTCGATCAATCACATGCGTTTATGATTATTATGATTATGAACGTTTACAAAAATTATTAGCTACTATATTCATGAATTGAATCAATCAGATCAATCAATCAATCGGTCAATTAGGCCATGGCCATGGCTAAATATTAAAAAAACAAATAAAATATCCATTGACCATTCACACCAACAATTCACCACCACCACACCTATAATTTGACATTCAATAATAATTTGTTGTTGTTTGCACCTTGCACATACACCTTATAAACACACATCACACTTAATTAATTTGATCTAATTTACAGTTTTCTATCCAATCTTTGATTTAATTATTATCAGATCAATCAGTAATGGTCAGTAATGGCCATAGGGTAAATCTACAGTGCCCTTATGAAGTGGTCAAACAAAACTAGATCTCAACAAAAACAATGGACATTACTTATTCAATCGACCGATAGGCATGACTTTCTCTCTCTTTTTCGATCCAGAGAAAGTTATCGATTTTGGAAAAATCAATTCAATTTTTTTTTGAATCTACAACAAACAAACAATGGCAATCAATCTGATTGGTGGAAAAAATTCGATGCTGATGCTAATTCTCTTTGCGTTCAAAAGTCTATGTCGTGGTCAGCGGTTCCAACTGACAACTACAACAACAAGTTCATCAAAGTTCATTGGAAAAAATTAGAATTTTGATTTCGAATATTGAATGATGGTGATGATCAGAGAGAAGAGTATAAAAAGAACAAATCGATCATTGATCATTCGGCTCATTTTAATTTGTTTTGTTTTTTGGATCGTGTTTGTGTTTGTTAGTTTGTTTGATTGTGCGTGTGTGAATTCTTGATTTGCCATCATCATCATGATGTTTATCGTAAGTAAATAGGTTTTTTGTCCGAATATATTTCATTGGTTGTTGTTTGTTGGATCAGGTTACATTGACAGCAGTGATTGGCTTATGTTATGGTCAACAACAATCACTACCATCATTGAGTCCATATCAAACGCAACAATTGCCAGTAGCAACGGCAACAACACCAAAACCATATTACCCACCAGCACAGGTTCATTATGTTAATATTGGTGAAGATTTAGCCGGTGATTATAAGGTTAGTTAATCATGTTTGGGTGAATGACGCAAATGAAATGTTTTCAATTTTAATTCACAGTTTGGCTATGATACGGGTAAAAATGGTGCTGGTCAAAGTTTTCGGGAAGAATCGAGATTACCTGATGGTACGGTAAAAGGTGCATATGGTTATATTGATGCAGAAGGTAAACAACGTATTGTTAAATATAGTGCCGGTATTGAAGGATTTAAAGTTGAATCGGATGAAGAAGCACCTGGACAGCCAACTGGTACGGCTGCACGAAATGCTTCACCACAAGGACATCCAGCACCTGCTCCCGTTCAAACTTATTCACCACCGCCAAGACAAGCGGCTCCATTGCCCGTTTCAGCGCAACCACAGCAACAATTATCATCACCAATCACAATAACACGTGGTGATCCACAAACACTTACATTACGTACTGTGGCTAATGAACGACAATTACCACCCATTTCGATTCGAACCTATGTTGCTGCCAACGATACATCGTATGGCCAATATTCGCCAGTCTCATCAGCAGGTTCTTCATCATTGCAACAACAACCAGCTTATCGTATCATATCATCATCATCGCCTAGTACGCCATCACTGACCAGTTCACCATCAGCAGCAAGTCCATATCAAGGTTATACTACGGTAGCACAAACCAGAACATTTAATCAACCACAATACATATCGCCAACATCTCAATCATTACAGCCAATCATTTCGCCCACTGGCACCAATCAATATTCATCATCACAATCAGCCTATCAACAGCCAACCATTCCACCACGAACAACATCGCCATCCGCCACAATGACATTGTCCGCTCTATTGGCACACGTTGCACGATCATCATCGAATCTAAGTAATTCGGCAACAACTGGCAACACACAGAATTTATCATCATTACTTCGACAAGCGCAACCTGCAACCGCATACACAAGTGGTTCACCATTTTCAACCGCATCAATCTATGGACAACAACCAGCTTCTCTTGTTGGTCAACCACAACAAGCCGAGCAGGAAGCCACCACATGGGGACCACCAGTCATTAATAAAGAATTATTAAGCTATAACATAGGTGTTCAACAAGGTTGATCTAATGCAAATGTATAATGTATAATGTTTCTCATCTCTATAAATATAACAATAATAATAATTGTCCTTTTATTTGTTAAATGATTATTTCATCAATGATAATCCATTATTTACATTCACCACAATTCTTTCAGATCAACTATTTCCTTCAGGTTCGTGTGGAAAGTTCCGGAAATGTATCGAAAATTTCGGCCACCGTCAACGATATTGATCGTAGATATTTGGGTCGAGATTTTCTACCCGATCTTGATGATGGAGCTTCAACCAATGGACCCAATTTTTCACATTTATCCGAATCTTCAGCATATTCACCGCAAAAGAAATTCAATGCATTCGAACTGGTCGATTCGATTAATTCTTCCACTGTTTCCATTTCTTTATCCGAACATTTTGCTTCGTTACGGCCACCATCTTGGAAACATTTTCGTAGTGTATAATATTCACTATGATTATTGAATAATGATTAGTGACATTCAGAGAAAACAAAACAAAACCACACTTACCAACAAGTATAGGGAATTTTCTTTTTATCTTCACTGAATTTGATTCGATGCAAACGTTCAATCAGATTTCGATGACATTTATCAAAATGATTGGATGCACGTCGAATGCAACCGGATGCTGATAAAAATTGTCGAGCCTTTTTCGAATTCTTTTTACAGATACGTGACATTGATCCTTTCACCGTATAGACTAAAATGTTAAAATATTGTTTGGGTAAACCATGCTGACATCGTTTGGCATAGGATTCAATCAGACGAATATCAGAAAATTGTCCCCTGCAATCAACAATAGTCAATCATTTCAGATGTACATCGAGAGGACAAACAAAACTTACTTGCAATAATTATTTAATTCTTGTTGATCGGTTGGAAACGGTCGCGATACATTACCATAACCACTCATGCGACCAAATACAGCATCAACTTCACCTTCGGCACCTTTTTTACACGGTAATTCAGCATTTCGTCGACGAATTTTGGCATTTTTACTTTTATGTGAACGATGATTACCACGTTTGCGTGAATGTTTAGACCGTCTTGCTTCAATGATACTCATATCGATTAACAAAATGACGGTAATCACCAAAATGATAATGGTCGACCGAGATAATTTGGGCAACATCATTTATGCGTTTGTTTATTTGTCCAATGATGTTCACTCAACAATCAACGGATCGGAAATGAACATCGAAATCTCAAATCAACTTGGCTATTTGGCCACGTTATAACGAAAATCTCTATTTACCGCAGCAAAATGGCCACAAACATTGTGAGAAAAATGATGTCATGACAAGTTTATCATGGTTTTTTGGTCGTTTTTCCCTATTTCTCTTTCTTGACTTGGTAAAAAAATGAATTAAGTTGCAGTAATCTTTTGTCTCGACAAAACAAGACGGAAATCAGATTAGAAAATTTCTAAATTGCTATTTAATCCATTTCGATCCCCAATTTAGCAATGTTTCATATTTTACTTTGATTCGTTTCGAAAATAGATGCAAAAGATACGGATGTCATCATTGCAAAGTTACTTGTGATTAGTGAACAGTGGAGCAAACCAACGAGGAAGTAGTGCATTTTTCTATTGTATACCAAATCAAATTTGAAGTTTGCCTGTTTTGATGATAATTATCTTTTTCGTTTCATATGATTTATCCGTGTGTGATGAAAATGAAATAAATTTTCCCTTTCAACAGGGATGTGTGACCAATTTTATGTTCCTTTTCGAATAATAAATGGTCAGCTATTCGAGGCAAATGAAAATCGATGCAATCAAATTAATGTGCAATGCTGATGCTGCCACCACCAAACTAGATTTTTTCGTCTGTTCAAGATGTTTGTTTTTTGATGCATGCATGTTTTGTTTCTATTTGGCACAAAACCAAATCAATTTTTTGTAATCAACATTATTTGTTGACCTTGTCAATTTTTGTTATCATCTGAAAGAAAGAAAATATATCACATAATTGGCAGACATTTGTCAAGAGTATTACAATATTGGTACTCGTCAATCATTGCGAATGTCAATTACAAAACAGCAATGACAGCAATGATTAAAATAGTTAAAACCAAACCATTTGATGGACAAAAACCGGGTACAAGTGGTCTTCGTAAACCGGTCAAAACATTTGAACACCCAGGTTATCTGGAAAATTTTATTCAATCGATTTTGGATGTTTCGTTAGCCGATGTTAAGGATCGAAAAACCGTACAATTAGTGATAGGTGGTGATGGCCGTTATTATTCATCGCATGCAATACAGACAATTATTTCCATGTGTGCTGCCAACGAGGTAAATTTGGATATGATTTGGATGAGAATTAATTGCATTTCAAATGATTTTAGGTTGGTCATTTGATTGTCGCTCAAAATGGTATAATGTCAACACCGGCCATATCGGCTGTAATTCGTACGAGAAATGCACATGGTGGTATTATTCTTACTGCTAGTCATAATCCAGGTGGTCCTCACGGTGATTTTGGCGTCAAATATAATTGTTCCAATGGTGGTCCAGCACCTGATCAGATAACCGATGCAATCTATGCTCGTAGCAAAGAAATCCACAGATACAAATGTTTGGAATCGATGCCCGTTGTGAATGTTAGCCAACTTGGCCAGCATATTATCAAGTATTCTGGTGATGGCGAAATGATGGTCGAAGTAGTCGATTCGGTTGATATGTATCTAGAACTGTTGAAAAGGATTTTCGATTTTGAATTATTACGTCGATTCGTTTCGACCAAACGATTACGGATCGATGCAATGAACGGTGTAATGGGTCCTTATGTTTGTCGAATCATTGTACAAGAACTGGGTGCCAATGCAGATGCAGCCGTTCGTTGTAAACCATTACCAGATTTTGGTGGCCATCATCCGGATCCAAATCTAACTTATGCAGCCGATCTGGTCGATCAGATGCGCAACGGAGATTATGATTTTGGAGCTGCATTCGATGGTGACGGAGATCGAAACATGATTCTCGGCGCCAAAGGTTTTTTCGTCACCCCATCTGATTCGTTGGCTGTGTTAGGCGAAAATCTGGAACAAATTCCATATTTTCGTGGTCGTGGTGTAAAAGGCTATGCAAGATCGATGCCAACATCAAGAGCAATCGATCTGGTAGCAAAGAAAACCGGTCTTAAATGTTATGAAACACCAACTGGTTGGAAATATTTCGGATCACTTTTGGATGCCGGTATGGTATCGATTTGTGGTGAAGAAAGTTTCGGTACCGGTTCTGATCATATTCGAGAAAAAGATGGCCTATGGGCTGTATTAGCGTGGCTATCGATTTGGGCAACTATGCCTGATCATAGTGTCGAATCGATTGTTCGACAACATTGGCGCCAATTCGGTCGATGTTACTATTCTCGTTATGATTATGAAAATTGTGATGTCGAATCTTGTGAACGAATGATGGCCACACTCGATCATAAGATTGCTGCCAATCAATTGCCAAAGACAATCAATTCGGACGATGGAAAAACTTACCATGTTGATAAAGCCTATAATTTTGGATATACTGATCCGGTATCCGGTGAACAAACATGCAATCAAGGTTTAGTCATTCAATTCAATGATGGTTTATGTCGCATTATGTTTCGATTAAGTGGAACAGGATCGACCGGTGCTACCGTTCGATTATATCTCGAACAAATGGAAATGGATTCGGAAAAAGCCGTTTCCGGTTGTTTAGAAGACTATATACGACCATTAGCAAAAGTAGCGTTGGAAATTTCAAAGTTGCAAGAATTTACTGGCCGAGATCGACCTACAGTTATTACATGATTGAATAATTGTAATAGACATTTTTGTTGAAATAAAATTTTATTCTTTTTATTCAAAATGATTGATGTTTATTGGGTAAATGACATGTATTACAACGATCACAATGTGAAGAGGTAATTTTCACACATCGTTCACACTTTGAACAATGTTGTATTGGTTTGGTGGAATCTCTTGCTGGACATTGTCCACATTGATTACAATGATTATTGTTTCGAAATATCGTACGTTTACATTGTTCACACCAACGATATTGAGCCGGATCGATTGCGGTGAAATCATTTAGATTTAGATTGGTGAACAAACGAACCGGTGATGCAGAAATCGATATCGATTTTCGTTTAAATTTGCTATGATTTTCATATGTAACAATGAAATCGGTAATTCGAACTTGATCATTTTCGAAAGCTTTTCGAATCCAATGTTCGTTGAAATAGGGGAAGAATATGGCTATCGATACAGTGATTTCGGAATTGGTCATCCATTTGTTGCAAATTTCATGAACGGTTCGAGCTAGACATTCAATGAGTCCACCGAATGGCGGATCAATCAATACCAGAATTGAATGACTAGCAGTCTCAACGAATTCTTTGAATGATTTTTTACCATATTCATCATCATCACCATGATCGAAAAAGTGTCCGTTGAACATGTTGAAACGAGCAAATCGATTGGCTTTGTAGAACTGATAATATCTGGCATCTAAATCCAACAGAAATGAATCTTTGCCATTGATTAATAATTCCTCATGGACTGTGGGACATCCAATGCATAGAATTTTATCAAAATGAAATGCTTGCACTAGATGATCACGAATGAAATTCAGTGTTTGTTTTGAGAAATAATACTGTGCCAGATTTTCATTGTGAGTTTGAGGAGTTAGCAAATTCAAACATGGTCTTGCGACAAGCTCTTCAAATTGTTGGCCATCAATACGATTTTTACAACGGCTATGTTTCGATGCATAATGTTTGGCCAATACTTTTGGATCATCATCGGTGAGCAACACACGACAACAATCCAGACAATAACCACATTTTGAAGGATGATCCAACAGATATTGATGATCAGGTTTGGTTCTTTCGGGGTTTTTGATCAGATTCTTCGAACTGGCCAGACGTCTCCATTTCTGTGCGGAAAGTTTAAATGGACAGAATTGATGATCGCGTGATGCTGAACAGGCATAATAATAATAGCTGGATGGTTTATCGTAGAACAACAACGTTGGCCCATGAGGACATACCGGCGAACTATGATGACCAAGATTATCGGGTGGATCTAGCACTAAAGTCATGGTGAAATTTATCGTTGATTATCACATATGAAAAAAATGATTAACATCAAATTAATGTCCAAAACAAACAAACAAACAAAAAAGTCGCCATCTAGTTGACCGTTCGTGAACTTTGCTGCAACATTGACGATTTGCCAGCTGCCATCGAAAGTGAGAATAAATTTCAAAAAAATGAACACCAAACATTCGATGCGACAATGTCCATTTTCGCCTGGTACGATCGGATTATCGGCTGACCACCAACATTATCAACAAGAAGAATGGTTATTCGAAACGAATCGTTCACATATATTGAATTCCAAATGTACATCATCGGTTGTGTGCAACAAGACACGTTCGATGTTACAATCGTCAGACGATACAAGTACAAAACAATCATCGACAATGGGTACGCCGCGCAAATCGCTAGATGAATATTTGAATAGCAAACATCGTATCTATTATGAACGTGGTCTATGTCAGTATTGTAAATATGATCTCATCTTATCGATGGCTCATTTGCCCGACATGACATATGCATCGAATCATCTTCGTTTGGTGCATAAAAAATCTCGATTAATAATTGAATTCAATGCACTGGATGCTCTTGCTCCGATCGTGATCAAATCGTATGGATTGCCAATCGGTCTAAAAGTTTCCGCATCTGAAGCATGGCTGCGTGCACGAATGAATTGTGAATACACTCGAAATGTTTGTAATGCTGATTTTGATTGGACATTTTCCACTGATTATTCGGGTACATTTCGTCAGGATTCATTGGATAAATCGTCATTACCAACTGAGGCAAAAGAACTGCGGCCAGATCAGCCACCATTATCGGAATTGATACAACCAACCGATGAACGTATCAATATGGAAAAACTAAAAATTCATAAGCAAATCAATTTTTTCGATGAAATTGAACTGTTCGAAGATGAATTGGCCGATCATGGTGTTGCACAATGTTCGGTCAAAATTCGTGTCCATCCAGATTGTTTTTATGTTCTGTGTCGATATTTTTTACGTGTGGATCGTGTATTTGTACGCTATTTCGATACTCGTATATATCATGAATTTGGATCAGATTATCTGCTTCGTGAACGAAGTCAACATGAATCGAATATTGCTGATTTGAATTTATCCACCGATATGGCACAGGCATTGTTGATAAATCCACAAGAATTATTTGGTCATGTACCGATCAAAAATTCGGTGGTAGATAAAATTACTTTATCACCTTCCATCGTTTAATCAATTTTAATGATGAATTTTTTTTATTAATGACAAAAAAATGGGGAAAATAAACATAATTTACTTTCTTTGATTTTATTTTAATCTAATGATGATTATTATGATGATCATGACGATGGTGAATTGTTGTTGTTGGTGGTGGTAGTGGTAGATTGAATCAATTCTTGTTGTTTTGATGATAATGTTTGCATTTTTGCTTCCGCGTGTTCCTCACGTAAACGATTACCCATTTTGGTTTTCAAATTTTCGGCCAATTGATTAAGATCTTCGGTAAATGTAGTGACAATCGAACTAAAATGTTCAACATCGGCTGGTTCCCAATGTGTTTGATAATCGCTTTCGCCACCATTGTTGTTGTTGACGGTTGCCGATATAGTTGGATCATTGGTAGGATCCATCGATTGAATTAGTTCGCTTAGTTTTTTGAATGCATAACCAGCAGCATGAAATATTTCGGCTACATTCGATACGGTAACCATGTTGTTGTTGTTGTTGTTGTTATTACCAGTTGTCGATGTTATCGAATCAACTTTTGTCGATGTTCCTGCTGTTTCCGTATTGGTCGTAGTCATTTTATCGATATATCAATCACTTTTGAAAAGAAAAACGTGCGAAATCCAAAATAAAAATGAATCCAAATTGTGGATCTATTTTAGAGCTATCCAAAAAAAAGGGCGTGGCCTACTCGAACAACAAATTCGAAAGATCACGTGATCGTAATGGCAATACAATCAAATTCAAAACGATTGATAAAGGTGTAGTAGCATGTACCACTGTATTAACATGGTAGATTGATTGGAAAGATAATTCATTAATCGACGACGATATGCTTGGTTTGTTTTGCAAATTCGAGTGTTGTTGTTATTTATTTCAATTTTTCCTGCTATTGTTCTTGCCTACACACACCTGTTGATTGAATATTTTCGGTGACATAATGTCCAATCATTAGTGGCTGAAAAACAGAATGGGCAATATACAATCATTACCCGATGATGGACAATGGTCATCGAAAATATCGATGGAAGTTATGGAAAAATATCTGCGACCAACAACTGAATATTCATTGAAAATATTACGCCAATATTTTGAACGTTACCGGTTATTTGTCAAACATAATCCATTACTTGTATCCGAAATAGAATCAGCCTTGTATTGGATATCATATCTGTTGGCAACTACTCGATTTCATAATTCTCGTATCATATCCGAATTACTATCATCATGCTCATCATTGCTCACATTATTCGATGATAGTCTGCTCCGTCGTTCGTATGGATTATCGTCGACGAATCAACAAAACACCAAATCAACAATTTATGCATTCCATTTGATTTTACAATTTATCGAATATGTTCAAGTATTTGTCGAATTGACAGCTGTTCAATTGTATGGCCGTTATGGTAAATGGTTGGTCATATCGATCATCGAAATCATCAAAGCAAGTATACGTTTGCTTTTGCTATTCTATTATCAACAAGGTCTTACTCGTCGTCAATATCTGACGCCATTGAATCGATTATATGAATTCGAACGATTTCAGATGAAACATAAATTCCAACCACAACAACAACAACAAACCGATTCATCATCACCACGGTCCAGTGTTGACGAAGCAATTGTTATACCGGATGATGATGAAGAAGTTATCATACCCGATGATGATAATATTGTTCACCACAATAATCTGGAACCGGATGAAACACAACTTTTCCGATTGAAAAGTTCCGGTCGTATTATTCGAAATATTGGCCAAGCACCACCCAAAGAGAAACGAACTTGGCTTACACCACAACAACAGCAACGTTTACGACGTTTATTGCAAAAAAATCATCGATCATCGCCCACAGTGACGCAGCTCAATCAGCGACGATTAATCGGTGAACTGTTACATATCCTACGGCCAGTTATTCATCTAACAACTGGGGCAATAGTCGGTGGTGTCGAAGATCATTGGACACCATATATGGTATCGCTTGGTTTGGATGTCATATCGCTACGATTGTTACAAGGTAGCAATTTTTATTCATCAAATGATAAAAATCTATTCGGTTTGATTAATTGCAATGATGATAAGGATATTGGTGTTGATATGGATGTGGATCATATATGGAATTGGTCCGAACGTTTGGAAATTCAACGACGCTATCTATCACTATTAATGTACCTGTTACGAAGTCCATTCTATGATCAATACACTAAACAACGTTTATTGCGGCTAATATCATTGTTTGCCAATTACATTCCATTGTTTGGTCGTTTATGTCGACCATTAATTCGAGTGTTACCCGAATGGCAACAAATTTATTTTTATGTATGGAATTGATAAATGAAATTAAAATGAATCAATCAATGAATCAATTATAATTATGATTTGATTAAATATATTATATAAGTCTCTCTTTGCATTGATTTTATTTTTTGTAATGTTCCAACAATGGCTGTTGATGTTGTTGATGAATGTTTGGATAATTGTATGGTTCAGGTTGACCATATCCATGTTCCAATAAGGCTGGTTCTGGTTCTGGATGTGGTTGGGCTGCCAACAATTGACCACCATGATAACCATGTTGATGATGTAAAACTGGTGGTGCATGAACAACGGATTTAGTATAAATTGGTGTAGCTTGTGCTACCATTGGAATTGGTACAATTCGTTTCACTTCTACTGGAATTGGTCTTGGCACTTCTACCGGATATGGTCGTGGTACTTCATATGGTTGTGGAACAGTATAGGGTTCGGGTACTGGCACACCTTTGTAGATTGGCGCTGGAACTTGTACCAAATGATTAACATGACTGCCATAATTACTTTGTGTAATTGGTGCATACAATGTTTGATAATGTTTTGTAAGTACGGTAGTAGGATAATGATAATACGGTTCAGGTTCAGGTTGCGGAATTGCCTTCACGGTGGCGATTAATGCGGCTAATAAAATCTATAATGCGAACAAGCGACAAAGAAAACAAACAGAAAAAAGTCAATCGAAACGAAACGGGAATGTGGATGGATAATGGTTACCAGGAATTGCATTTTTGTTTTGTTTGATGATGGTGGTCAAATGATTTCCTGCTAAAAAGCTATATGAATGAATGTTAGGAAATCAAAAATGAAAGTGGCGAAATTTGTATTGCTTTTTATACAACAACTCCAGCAAACAAAAAATGTAGATCAAAATGGCAAAAATAAAAAAACCTGTAAAAATAGGCTTGGTTCGTCCAAACATGATTTTCGTTCGTCTCTTGTTTTTTTATCTGATTCAAGTTTACAGAAAACTTTCTCTCTTCCATTCTATTCAGTGGCCCGAATGGTGGTGCCCTTGAGAGATCCGAAAACAAAAACGAAAAGAGACGAATCTTGTTGCCTGTTTTTCATTTGTTGTTGGGCTGACCACACTGAGATGATTTGATTAATGAATGAATGAATGAATGGTCTTCTTCCACAAATGATGGCCATGATAATGAATCATTCTGACCGCACTGAGTTTGACTTGTATGGATATGATCGACATGTCAGAAAAAGATACCAATCAATGTCATGATGATAATAAGGATGCACAATCAATATTGATATTGATCATTAGTGTGTTCCATGTTGATTTGTTGTTGCACCAAATCTGAAAATTCGAATGGTTTCCATCAATTTTAATAATTTTGTTGCAACAACAAGAAAAAATTTGAAATTTTTCATAAAATTACGAAATTCTTCATTTTTGTTTCAATTTTTCTTAAATCATAAAAACAAAAGAAAGAGATTGCATGATGCTTGTTTTCTCAGTTTTTGATTGTGAGAATCTGTTTGACATGTGATTTTTGATTTTAATTGACATCAACATGAACACGATGACCAAACCCTAACCTTAACCCTTTATGTTCTTTTATGTTGTCGTTTTTTTGTTTGAAAAGAATTTCATTCATGAATCAAAGTCACAAAAAACAAAACAAAACCGAAAACAAAACGATAGATCACATTATGATGATAACGATATCACGAATGATTTTGAATGTGATGATTAAGATTTGTCAATTTTCGGAATCATTGATGATGATAATAATAATGACAATGGTTGTGATGTAATCATGTCCATGAAATGGTCATTATAATGATTTATTATTATTTTCAAACAAAAAAGAAAAAGAAAAAAATGGATTTATGTCGAAATATGACAATAACTTATTAATGATTTGCAACAACGAAAAAATATTCCAAAAAGATATTCCTGTCAAATATGGCGCTGATTTTCATCACATTTCATTCCATTCAACACACTATATCTCATCACATCTGTTTTTCGTTGTTGTCTGTTGAATTCATCGATCCATCTGATGAATGAAAAACTTATCTGAATCATCATCATTATGATGATTGTTGAATGCTCATTCATTACATAATCACATTGATGATGATGATGATAAGCGGTTTAAAATTGTCTTTATTTTTCATTTTATTTCTTTTGTTTCTATTTAATGAATTTTATTCAATCTTTTTTCTCATTGTTGTTGTTCCATTAATAAAGCTTTTGGGAATTTAAACACACACACAGACATTTAAATGGTCAATTATGGATCATTATCATCAATGATGATGATAACAATGTAAACGTGAATGTATCATCTACTTTTTTGTTTTTGTTTTGTCAAAAAATAAAATTCTCTCTTTGTCTTTATGGCGGCCATTCGAGGGAGAATTTTTTTCTGTTTCAAAAGAAAAACAAAAAAAACATCAACATTCGGAACGTGTTGACAGACCGTGTTGTTTGTGTTATTCTACGAAAAAAATGATGACTATGTCTGTGTGACTTTCTGTTATTGATTGGGCAAACTTTCTGTCGAAAAAAGCGCAAAGAGTCAAAAATGTTGTCGCATCGTTTCATAAGGAATATGAAAACGGCTATAAAACATGAATGACCAAAATGTTCAATGTCTATTTATTTGTCCCCGATATTTGGAACCGTTTGTTTCACTTCATTTTTTGTTTTTAACAAAGAAAAAAATTGTCATCCAATTGGTCATCACTGTCCATCATTTGATATTATTTCTTCTTCAAATTTTCATTGGAATTGAGCAATGCTATAAAAGTGTTGGTAATAGTAGTGTTAATAAATTCAATTTCATCAATCATGATTCGTTACTGTTCAACGTTATCATTGTTATTATGGATGTTACAGATCCAAATGTCAATAACATTGATGCATGGTGATCATTTTGATGGGGCATTAGGTCATGGTTTGGTTCATGGTAATAATAATAATCACCAAGAACCAAACGCTGAACCATCATCAATGATTGGCTATCATCATCAGTCATCAGATCTGCCACCGCATCATGAAATGATGATCAAATCCTATCCAAGTGCTGAACCTGTACAGCAATATCATCATGATGAATATTCTTCACATTTACCATCTTATCTGCATAATGAACCTTTACATCACTTGGGTCATCCGGTTCCCGAACCAGAACAACAACATCATCCAATGATGAGTCATGACATTCATCCTGAACCAATGCCTTATCATTTGAATGGTCTTCAATTACGATTTCATCCAGAAGATTTAGCTGTTCATGGCTATGATAATCAAATGAATCATCACGAACAATCGCCACCGCATCATCATGTTCATCATGCATATCCTCATACGATGCACCATTCACCGCATCCCATTCCATTGCCAGAACATTATGACGATCATGATAAACATGAAAAATATGATAATGTATTGGCACATTATGATCCATTCTATGGACATCGTAAACCGGGAGATGGATTTGGTCCTGGTGGTCATTTTTCAGTTATGCCACACCAAGAAATCAAATATTTTCCAGTACCGGAACCTGTTGCAGTTTATAAACCAGTACCGGTAGAAAAACCATATCCAATTCCAGTGGATAAACCATATCCAGTGAAAATTGATCGTCCTGTCCCGGAACCATATGTAGCAAAAGTTGTTCAACCAATCATACATAAACAGGCAATCATTAAATCACATATAACACATCAAACATATGATATTCCTTACCCTCAACATCAGCAATATCCACATCCATATAAAAAAGCATAGATTTATTATTATTATTTATTTCATTTTCAATTTACTTTATCAATCTGTTTTTTTCATTAAAAAATAATATTTTTTCGTGTTGGTTATTCATTCGAAAGGTCAGATCAAATGGCAAACAAACATAAAACCTGTCTCTTTTCATACTTTTTTCTTTATGTAATTTTCTTGTGGTGTGGATATGGCTCTTCGGTCTTGTTGTTGCATGTTGTAGCAAAGTTGTTATTCGCATCAAATCAAATCAAGTTTGCAGTATGGAAGATGCATCAATGTAATCACTTTCACTGTGTGTGTTTGCTTGTATGACGATTCTTGTCGTCGTCGTTGTTGTTGAAGATACGATTATTATCTAGGGTGAGTATTTGATTTGGATACAATTTTATTTTAGCAATTTTTCTGATATCGAATTAAATTGAATTGAATTTGATGTTTGATTTGATGATTGGGATTGCGATTGATTGAATGCAGATGATTGAAAGTTTCTGTTGTCGATAAACAATGGATTATTATGGTGATGATAGAACATTTATAACGAATCAAATGTAATGATCAAGGCAATCTATTGATAGTGATGATTATCAATCAACACAGAGAAACATTTTTCTCCAAAATCAAAAATAAACAACCCACTTGACAAAAACAAGATTTATTTCAAAGTGGATATTGCCCACAGGCTTCATTAAGGAAGAATGTTGATGTTTGATGTTTGATTTGATTTTTGCTAATTGATTATTACTGCTGTTTCTGTTTTGTGATCAGACTTTCACGACATCGACATCAAAATGGTACGAATGTTGACAACAATTTTGGTCATCACAATGACCATATTTGTATCATGCGACAATGTGACCACAACATCCAACAACAATAACCTGGATAGATATTATTTTCTTTTATCAACCATTTTACCGTTCGGACGTTTACATCATCGATATCGCGATACTATCGATATTGAAAAATCAAATTCAATTTTGGAAAATGTTTTACCGCCACCGCCTTCAAACAATCGTATTGTACAATTTTCTCGTTTTAAATTTATTCCGGCATCAATTGAACCACGTTATCATGTGGAACGTGAAGTAACGCATCCCCAAAAAATAATATTTACATTACCCGACAACGATGATGATCATGGTGATGGATTGTTGAATTAGAATCAGTGTTGAATAATCATTGTAATTTGAATTGTATTAATATCATTATATCGTTATTTTGTAATTTAAAGCAAATTTTATCATACATCATTTTCAGTTGTTAACATTGATTAAATAAAAACTTTATTTTCGCTTTTCGATATTATGCGATCACTTTGATTTCACGATTCGGTGATGTTTTTTATTTACCCCCTAATCAATCATTTTGGAAAAATCAAAAAAAAACTAAATCTAATAGTGGCCATAGCCATAACCACCACCAAGACCACCGTAAAGACCATGACCTAAAGCCAATGGTGCTGGTGCAGCATGATAAGCTGGAGCAGCAGCAACATACGATTTGGTTACAATTGGTGCAGCTTGAGCGACCATTGGAACTGGAACAGCACGTGGAACATCAACTGGAATTGCTCGTGGAACTGGTACGGCAACTGGTCGTGGAACAGCATAGGGTTGTGGAACGGCAACTGGGTATGGTTGTGGGACACCTTTAACAATTGGTGCTGGTTGTACAACCAAATGATTGACTTGTGAACCATATTTACTTTGTGTGATTGGTGCATACATTGTTTGATATTGTTTGGTGATCAATGTCGGTGCAGCATAGACAGCTGGAGCGGCAGCCAACAATGGGGCACCATGACCATACAATGGTTCACCATATGGTACGGCTACAGCGCACGAAACCAAGGCGGCAATAATCTGTTATTATTGATAACATCATGTATAAATTTTGGTTTAGGATTTTAAAAATCAAAAGTCACACTTACGATGAATTTCATTTTGTTTTGTTTTTGGCAAAGTTTTGATGATAATGGCAGTAATGATTAATTCCGTTATAGTGAATAGGAATTTAATTCGAAATTTCTGTCTATTTATATACTACTTATTATCGGACAATAGAGAAATGTATAAGTTGTCTATGTTGGATATATTCATTCATTCATTCATTCATTTATTCATTGATTGATTGATTGAGAGAAAAAGATGAATTGAAAAAAGATTATTGAGAGAATGTTGGCACGTGCACGTGTTGGCATTTCATATTTTATTATTATTTTTCTTCTCAAAATAACTAATTTTAATTCAGTTATTAATTTTCAATGTTTACATTCAAAAATAAAATTGTCGTTTTGGCATATTTGGGCGAGAATAGAATGACAAGCCCCTTAAGCTTTTTTGTTTTTGGAAACTGTCCATGTCTATTAGCATCTAAATATAATTTGAATTAGAAAAATCAAATATTACCTTGAGACCATTTTTCTTAATGTTTGATTGATACACACACCTAATCAATGAATTATTAAACAAATGAAAACCATCATCATTGATGATGATAACATTGACCAGTCGGGGTCACACAGTTTTTATAATAGCATTTCTGGAAAGATTGATTGACAGCCAATTACTATGGGATGGTTTTGTTTGTTTGTTTGATTGTCGCCAATGTCCAAATTGATCAATAATTATTAATACTGTTTTTCATTGTTTTATTGATTCGGTGCATTTAATTAATGTTGTATTATGAATTGCCTTGGGCTTTTTTCATAATAAAAGCAAAAAGCTGAAAAGCTGTTAACGAATTAGCGAAAAGTTTTCCATAAAGACAACGCCCAAGTGGAGTTTAAAATGAATGTTTCGTTATTGTTGAATAGAGAATCGATCCATTTTTTTGTTTATCATCTCTTGATTTGATGATGAAGAAATCAAAAGAAAAAACATTAGAGAATTAATTATATTGGATTAGAGGTGTGAATGGCAATCCATTCTATTGATTGACCATGATTTCTATTTATTTGTTAGTGGTTGCGGTGGTGGTGGGATGAAGGGTTTTTCCTTATTTCCTTTTTTGTTTTTCTTCAATTCAAAACAGAACAATACAAAACAGTAACACAAGGGTGTTATTGTTTTCATCCCTGCAAAATGTGCCAATCGTCATTGATTTAATATTGATTACAATCAATTGATTGATTGATGGATGAATGGATGGGGAAAATTTCGTAATCATTATCATTATTGTCTTGCAGAATGAATTGTGAAAGGAAATTATAAAGTGTCCATGATGATCAATGGTGTGCATGTCCGAATCGAATGATATGATCTAAATGCAATGAAAAAAAAACATGTGACTGATTATTGTCCAATGTCCAATTCGTAATGAACATAGGGCATTTCCCCATTTTTTTTGTTCTTCGAACTGACCATCGTCGTAGTCGTCATAATAATTTGGACGATCCAAAACGATTATGATGGGCCGTGTAATTTAGCGAGAAAACGAAAAAAACGTTGGCAACATTGGAGCAGCACGATTTTCCGATGCTTGTGATAATAATAGCCATTTGGGATGATCATGATGATGTTGTCCATCTGCGCCTTTTAGAATTTCGTCTAGCACCTATCGAAACAATTCGATTGTTTTTCATTCTTTTTTTGCCAACATAACTTAAATTTCGGTCAAGGTCTGTGTCTTTAATCGTCATTTTTTTAAATACAAAAAACGGATTGCTCGCCACCATAACGACGAATGTTTCTCTTTTTCTCTTGCAAAGACAATTTGCACAATGATTGATCCCAACGCAATCGGATTGAATAGGAAAAAAAACATCAATCGATCCATGTAATTTGGAATAGCAGTGATTAGAATGAATTACAACCTAACGTAAGTTTGTAAAGGAAAAACAATTAGTTTGGCTGGCTGCCATTGTTGTTTCAATGAAATTTTGATACACATTTTGATACAAAAAACAAAAGATGCTTCAATGAAATGGTTTGCCATCTGTTGAACATGATTAAAAGTTTTGCAAATTTAAATTTTTAAAAATAAAAAAAATTCCCATTAATGCTCAAAGTCGAAAGATGGCGCTAATGTTCTCATTGTTTTTTTAATTTCAACAAAAAACGAATCCAGAATTTCATTTTGACAATATAGATAATGTTTAGATTCTGGGTAGTGGTTCTGGATATCGATACCCAGGATATTCAGGAATCCAAAACCACTACTCAGAATCTTTGAATGGGTTTTTTCTTTTGGTTCCGTTGAGTTTCTTTTTTGTTTGTTTGATTGTTTGCATGTTTACAGCAAATAAAACGAATAAAATTCTTTGTTTTTTGTTTTGTTTTGAATAATTTTTTTTATTATTTTTCCGGTGAAAACGATTCTGAACAATTCTTACATCATCACGATGTTAACATCGAATGTACAATTATTTTTAGAAAAATTATGGTCACATTTCAATCAAACATATTATCGTCGAACATCCACACAATTACCATCATGTTTTTACAATTATTTAATTACACCGATAGCTAATGTTTATTTTTATTATAATTATTTTGATCAGTTTTCAGGTAAAAAAGGATTTTTTCAAAATATTCATTCATTCAATTCATAATTCCATTTTAACAGATCCAAAACTTTATGGATGGCCATTAATGGGTTCAATTATTGGGCCATTAATGATTGTAATCGTATATCTATTCATTGTTTATCATGGATATCAATGGCTCAATGATGAAAACAATTCATCATCATCATCAGTTCAACGTTGGATGTTGAAAGCTTTATCCGTATCGAATAATCAAAATTTCATTGGCAGTGGTCATCATAAAGCTCATTATCATCATCATCATCATCATCACCACCACCATCATCATCATCATGGCAAAGGGTCAAAAGGACGTGGTATCGGAAATGGAAATTATGATTTATCATTCACACATGCAATATGGTTTCGAGCGTTTGTTATTGTTTATAATTTTAGTATGGCATTATTGAATGCATGGATTGCCTATGAGGTTTGTATTTAGCGATATGAATTTCTAATTTAAACTTTTCCAACATTAATCTTTTTCAGCTAATTTATTGTGCTTGGAAATCAAATTATAATTTTCTATGTCAATTAGTCTATACAGGTAGGGATGATCCATATGAAACAAGAGTAAGTGGAATTTATTTCAATATAAATTCAATTTGAACAAATTTTCCTATCTGATATTTTGAAACATAGATCGCCATAGCCATTTGGTGGTATTTTATATCGAAAGCAATCGAATTAATCGATACAATGTTAATAATAATTAAACGTAAATCAAATCAGCTTACATTTTTACATATCTATCACCATTCAACAATGTTTATTGTTTGGTGGGTTGGTTCGAAATTTGTACCCGGTGGATCGGCAGTTACCGGTGCATTAGTTAATTGCCTGGTACATATACTGATGTATAGTTATTATGGATTAGCATCATTTGGTTCATGTTTGCAGCCATATTTATGGTGGAAAAAATATTTAACCATTATACAATTGGTATGTTTAAATAGAATTGTATTTTATTTTTGAAAAAAATTAATTCATCATCAAACTTATAGATACAATTTACAATGGGTGTTACATTAGGCCTAAATTCCATACTGACTGGTTGCCCCTTTACACGTTGGATGCAATATGTATTTGTTTGTTATGCATTTTCATTTCTTATTTTATTCGGTAATTTTTATCGTAAAACTTATACACAATCAATTCGTAGTGGTCAGAAAAAATCCAAATCAATGACAACAACAAATTTATCATCAAACGATAATAACATCATTGATGATCATCAAAATAAAACAGATGAATCTACAATGATAATCGATAATAATAAAACTCAACGAAACAAATCTGTTAATTCCAAATTATCACAACGTAAACGTAACAGTCACAGTAATAATAATAAGAAGAAACAATCATTATTGAATAAAAAATAATTGTGATAGTCATTTATATATCTAGGATGCTAAATTTTGTTTTGTTTCAATTCTAGTTATCAACCAATGTGTGTTCAATAAATAAATCAATGACCAAAATCAACTAATTACACAACATACATACAGAACACATTTGATTTGTAATAAATATGAAATTTTAAACAATCATCATTTTCAATTGTTTTCACTGTCTTAGATGATTTTCATCATTGATATTCTACCTGTAGAACCATCTTTGTTTTTTCTCTTTTTGATAATTAATTTTTTTTATATTAAAAAGAACGACAACAACAAAATCAACCTGTATTCAAAATCTGATTGATGTTTGATAATGATGATTGTGATGTGATGTGAACATCCTTTAGAGCGTAACGAGCATCATTTTCATGCAAAAAGTTTTCTTAATTTTGTCTTTTATTTTGGTTTGGTTGACAAATGATGTTTTTTTTGGTTGTTCGAAAAGGATGCGCTTCAAAATAAATGAGTGAAATTTGCTTTCAAGATCAAAAATGGTGATGCTTCATGGATTACATTAATTGTTCATTTGGAAAAAAATAATCTGAAAATCATTGCCAGAGAAAGAATATCCTCTCTTTCTTGACATTCGGTTTTCATCATCCAAAGGATGTTAAAACCGGTCTAGGAGACAATGAAATTTTCTTATTCAACATCGTCATCATCAAGATCTTCAAGAGCATCGAGTTGACAATCTTAATATATCACACACCAATGAAAGGTGATGAACTCCAATGATGATGGTGATGATTTATTTCATTTCTTTCATCATATATGAAAGCAAAAACAATTGCATCGTTTGTTGGCCAGGATTTCAATTGTCACATCATCTTTCATCATATGGATGTTTATTTTGTTCAAAAATTATTTAATTAAGTGAAAGTTTTTCATTTTTCTTAATAAATAAAATAAACGCCCAGAATCTTACATCATCATCATCCTCAACGATGGTGATAATTATAATGATCAAAAAGATGTTACGTGTATGTGTGATTTGCATACAAGATCCTCATCATTTCATCATCATCATACGTGATATTCTTTCTTTTTTCTAAAGAAAATGGATGCTTCAAAAAAAACATATTGATAATTCGATTCAAGAATGTTTTTCTTAACTTTTTTTTTCACTCATTCGCAAATTTTTCCATTGCATAACAATCACAATAATAATAATGGTAATAATAATGGTAATGAGCAATTGATATGGTCGAATGAAAGAAAAAAATAAAATGAATGATGCGCATCCATCCATGCATCCATTCAATTCAATTTGAATAACAAAAAAAATCGAAAAATTGAAAACATACTGTGAAAATATATCACCGGCCACATTGCAAGATGATGATGATTACCATTGTCCGCATCATTATTCATTTATAAAAAGAATTTTATAAAGAATTCCATTCAATTAATGAAATTATTTAAATGAAAAAACTTTCAATGTCGTCGAATGTTCAAAAATGAAAGTGAAGCAAACATATTTATTTTAAAAAATGTCCTTAATCACCATTGTCCATTCATAAATATCTTAACAAAAGACGAAAAACGAAAAATATCAAACGTGATATCATAACAATAAACAGAACAAAAAAAGATTTTCTTCTTCTTAATTAGATTCAGAAACAAAGAAACAAAAACAATCCAAGAGATTATCTAATAATTTTTTTCAACCAAGTTAATTCTAATGGAAACTTAAAACGCCGTCGAGTCGAATCTTTTGGATTCCAACATGAATTTCGAATGATGGAATTTTGGAAAAATGGCCACAAAAAAAATTCCAGAAAAATTCTTCTTTTATTTTGGAAATGAAAAAAATCTAAAATCTTCTGTCTGTTGATGATGATGGAAGAAGACGAAAAAAAAATTTGTGACGTGAACCGTAACAATGTGATTCTCCTAACCATTATCATTGATGATGATGTTGAGCAATGATCTTCATCATCATCATCCTCATCATCTTTCATTCATTCAAAAAAACCTGATGATAATGATGATACCTGGTGAATAAAGTCAACGAGAGACGAAAGAAAATAGAGAGAGAAAAAAAAGGTCAAATAAGATCATAGCTGTATCATTCTTCATTCATTCAAACCAATTATGATGATGATGATGATGGTCTCTTTTTCATAGAATCTCTCATCATCATCATCATCTAATTCATCCATGCATCCATCGATCCTATTTCCTAAAAAAATGAAGAGGAAAAGAAAGATCTACAAAAAAAACATAAATATTATGATTTGAATGAAATGAATTATATGGAATTGAAATCGGTTGGATGTGCATTGCAAAAGTTGATGATGTCAACCTCGAATTGTTTGTGTGTGTTTGTATGATGTAAATGTTAGAAATTCAGGAAAAAAAGCATCGAACCATTCCTAATGATCGCAACAACATCAACCATTATCATCATCTTGATTGAATATGGACGCCCGAAATGTTTTTCTTTTTCTTTCTTTGTAGCTTGGTGGATGCCAAATTATCGGATATGAATAGTAATTGGGGGAGAGAGAGATGGGAGAAAAAAAGGGATAAATAAATAAACGGTGCCATTGGCTACCACCATCATCAAATTTTTCTATTCATTTTTATCATCATCATTATGATTATCATCAGAAAAGATGACACTATCGATTCTCTTTTCTTTTTTATTCAGATGATGATGATGATGTTGTATGGATAGCTTGAAGCATCATCCAAATGCTTAATAATTGGCCAAAGAAGAAGAAAAGAGAAACTATTAAAAGAGGATGATGATTTTGAATTCGGTTGAACGATTTTTTCACACAAACACCAAAGAGATGGAGAGATTTGAACACATCTTTGATGTTCGAAAAATTCATTTCATCTTAAAGCTTCTCGTTTTTTGTTTTGATTTTTGACCTCGGTGTTCAGTCAACCAATCGATTCGCAAAAAAAATAGAAAGATGTTTTTTGTTTTTGTTGTTGTCGTCTTGGATTGTTTGGTTGATTAGAATTATTATGCTTTCCTAAGTTTTAACCCTTGATAATGACAATTAGGATCATTATCATTGTCATCATTATTAATTCATTTTAAACATCATGGTTCGGATGTCATTTCCGTTTGTTTTTTTCCTCTACACAAAATCTTAATGATACAATGATGATGATGATCAAATGAAAGGTCATCTTCATATTCATTTACATAGCATCAACAAAGATCGTGAATGAATAACACACACGTGCTGAATGTTGTCTACCTTGAAAGTAGTGATCCATTGCTATATAATCACTATATGGTCAATTTTTTCCGTTCTTGTAAATTATTACTTGTTGTTATTTTGCCTATTTAAACCGAGAATTGTTTGATGTCATTTTGCAATTGAATATCATTGTTATTATCTTTCTCTTTGGTCTTCGTTTTTTTTTTGGTCAGAATGACCGGTCCATGAAATGATTGATTGATTGAGCCATCTTGATTATTATCATTAAAAATTACCACTACTACAATCAACAACTTGTGTAGGTTTCGAAAACAGACCCGCCTCTTCCGTATCATTATCAACTTTAACAATCATTATCATTATAAGCAATTTGGTTAGATTAAAGCTACACGTTAGTTAGACAAGAATAGGTTAGGTTCAAATGAAAATTTCGATTCTTTTGGATTGGATTCTTTTTTCTTGTTGACTAAATTCATCATAATATTGCTGTGTTAATAACGATAATAAAACAATTTTCTAATCAAAAAAAGTTCAATACTTTTATTAGTTTGGAAAATAGTGTTGTCCAGTTTGCAAATGAAAAATAAATTTTGCTATGTATGTTTGCTGTGTCCATCTGTCACAAAGCAATCATCATCCTTAATTATCATCATCGAAAAAGGTCCCCTGACCATCACATTGTCGGTGGGTATTAACAATATTTCAGCTCTTTGCTTATTTGGAATATTTGCCATGTTGTTGTTGTTTTTTAATCTGATATTTTTTGCAACCCTAAAGCATTTATATAAATAATGGTCATAAAAAACAACAACAAATGAAAAGTTAGCTAAAAAAAACTAAGTTGTAATTTGTTGTTGTTTCGTTGGAAAAAATGGATGTTGTTCCAGTGTGTTGAATAGAATGATTGATTTTGTTTCGATAATCAAATTTATGGTGCGAATGTAGGTGTGTTTGTTGTTTTTATGGTGTGGGTGTTCGTGTGTGACATACATTTTCTATCAGTGTTTTTGTGTGTCCTAAATATTTTATTCAATGAAAATTCAGATGGTAAGGGTAGAGCGAGAGAGAGAGTGATTGGTTATAATGAATAAATTGAAACGAGTTTTTTTCTGAATTTTTTTAAATTGATTCAATTTGGTTGATTTTTTCCTTCATTCAACATCATCTATTTGGCCCACAGTTACTATTGAAAATATTTTAACCCAAAAACAGAATTTTTCGTTCAGTGACAAACGATGAAGAAGAAGAAGGAGAAAATTGTTTAGAAAAAAAAACAAAATTCCAGAATGAAAATTCAACCGTAAAAATTTATACCATATGATGATGATAATGATGAAAAGATGGTCAACTGGTCAAACAACTAGGAACGAAAAAAACTTGCTTGACCACGGTCCAATAGCTTTTCTTCATTTCTCAAATTTCAATTACGTCAAAATGGTTGTTGTTGTTGTTGACCATTTGTCTCACTCTTCATCCCTTGATTTTTTTCTATCTTTTTCTGCTGTAATATGCTGTGTTGTTGTCCATCTTCGTAATCATCATAATGGTCATTTTTTCATCTATGGCTATTTAGTTTTTTCTAACCAATATTGTAACTAACTTTGAATATATAAAAAATGCAAGGCTCCCAGCATGCTTGTCATAAAAAAATCAACCGGTTTTTTCGTTTTCGTTGTTGTTTCAGATTGAATAAAAAAAACATAACCAACCAAAAGTACTAGGCCCTAGGGCCTGATGACAATGACAACGACGATTGATGTTGTTTGGTGATAAATTGAATTTGACAATCATTTCAATGTGTGCATGTGTAAGTATTGAATTGGTGTGTGCAAAAGTATGTCATTAAAAGATTTGTAATTTTTTTTCTTGGAA